CGAAGCAATGGCTACATGCAGGCCAAAAACAAGTTTAACCAGGAGCAGACCTCTAACAGCAATGCGGGTGGAGGTCAGGGAATGGGGATGGGTCAAGGTCAGGGTCAGGGTCAGGGAATGGGCCAAGGAACGGGTGGCATGAACCGGCAGCAAACGCTGCAGAAACGAAACACCACGTTCACGGCCTCTATGCGACAAAAACATAGTAACTACGCTGATGAGGATGACGAGGATACCCGAGACATGACCGGTCGCATTCGCACGGAGTCGGGCTATGAGGTGGGGTAAACTTCTATATTCTAGCAGCAAATATTTTCAAAGAATCCTTGCTTTAGATTGATCGCGCCTCGGCCGGCAACTGCAAGCTCAACAAGCAGGAGAAGGATCGCGACAAGGAACAGGAAGACGACTTTGGCTACACGATGGGTAAGAGTGCTCCAGCCATAAAATCGTAATCACAGCAATGAATTCCACCCCCAGCTAAGATCAACAAGCGGTACAACATGATGAAGGACCTGCGTAGGCTCGAGGTCCAGAGGGACGCCAGCAAGCCGATAGGCATTGCTCTAGCTGGACACAAGGATCGCCAGAAGATGGCCTGCTTCGTGGCCGGTGTGGATCCAAACGGAGTACTGGCCAGTGTGGATATCAAGCCGGGTGACGAGATCGTCGAGGTCAACGGCAATGTGCTGAAGAATCGCTGCCACTTGAACGCCTCCGCTGTGTTCAAGAACGTGGATGGGGATAAACTGGTACTGATCACCTCGCGACGCAAGCCCAACGACGAGGGCATGTGCGTAAAGCCCATCAAGAAGTTCCCCACCGCATCCGATGAGGTAAGTTATTGCCCTTGCAATGTTCAACCTAAAAACTATATTTCTTAAACACTGCCCAAACGGTTTTTAGTCAATAGTTTTTCCCTTACCAAATTAATTTAAAAAACCAATAACTGACTGACAGGACTGAAAACATTTTATTTTTTTGTTTCTAAATATAATTAGAATTTAATGCGTACTAGAACTTAATTTACTACTGAAGACGTTATTCCAAACAAAAAAGCTGCTTATTAGATTATGATTGGTTCCTTTTACAAGATCATAACAAGATCTAGATCGGTTTTTATGCTTGGTTAAGAGAAATACAGGATTTTACTCTTTGTTGGGTATTTGTAAAAAAAACTTAAGGGATGACCGCAATAAACATAAGATATCAAACAATTTGCTATACCCAGTTTGTTAAGAAGCTTGTTACAGGTAGAAGGATGCGTTTTCGACTCTATAAAGTATAAAGTTTCTTGATCTGGATTAATAGCGGAGTCGATCTAGCCATGTCCGTCTATAGAGATTTGTGATTTAGCATGCAGAATATAAATAAGCCAACGCAAGTTTATTTCAAAATGTGGATACGCCCACTCTGTAACATATATTAATATATGTTTATTCGGTCTATCGAGTCATACATTTTTTTCCAAATAAAATGTACATAAATATTCCGTGAGATGGCGCCACCCAAACCCCAATTGAATTCAGGAGTATATTTATTTTGTAATTTCAACTGATCAATTGTTCTTCCTCCTTTGGCAGACCAAGTTCATCTTCGACCAGTTCCCGAAGGCGCGCACAGTGAAAGTGCGCAAGGAGGGTTTCCTGGGCATCATGGTCATCTACGGAAAGCACGCTGAAGTGGGCAACGGCATCTTTATCTCGGATCTGAGAGAGGGCTCGAATGCCGAGTTGGCGGGCGTGAAAGTGGGTGATATGCTGCTGGCCGTTAACCAGGACGTAACCCTGGAATCCAACTATGATGATGTAAACTATGATAAAACTATAAAAGCAAGGCGACTAGTTTATCAACCAATTCTCATTGACCTTAGGCAACTGGACTGCTAAAACGTGCCGAGGGCGTAGTGACTATGATTCTGTTGACCCTCAAGAGCGAGGAGTCCATTAGAGCGGAAAAGGAGGCGGAGGAAAAAAAGAAGGAGGGTAAGCATTTAATTAAAACAGAGTCATCGGACAACCACTTTGAATCTGAAAACCCACAGAGGCAAGGAAAGAGCAGGAGAAGCCACAGGAGCCCGCCACAGCCGAGATCAAGCCCAACAAGAAGATACTCATCGAGTTGAAGGTGGAGAAGAAGCCGCTGGGCGTCATTGTCTGCGGCGGCAAGAACAACCATGTCACGGTAGGCTATCTCCATTTCATATAGGTACTGTACAATTAATACCATATCTTTATCCTGGCAGACTGGCTGTGTGATTACACACATTTATCCCGAGGGAGTCGTGGCTGCCGACAAGCGCTTGAAGATCTTTGACCACATTTGCGATGTGAACGGCAATGCAACCCACGTGGGGAGCATGACGACATTGAAGGTCCATCAGCTATTCCACACCACCTACGAAAAGACGGTCATGTTGACAGTCTATCGCGCCGATCCACCGGAACTGGAAAAGTTTAATGTGGACTTTATGAAGAAGCCCGGCAAGGAGCTGGGTCTCTCACTGTCACCCAACGAACTTGGATGCACCATCGCGGAAGTAGTACGTTTATAGCATAGACCAGCTGTGAAAGATGCACCTCTGAAACACATTTCCATCCGCAGATACAAGGCCAGTACCCGGAGATCGACAGCAAACTGCAGCGCGGCGATATCATTACCAAATTCAATGGCGATGCCCTAGAGGGCCTCCCGTTCCAGGTGTGCTATGCCTTGTTCAAGGGAGCCAACGGCAAGATATCGATGGAGGTGACTCGACCTAAGCCCACTCTGCGCACCGAGGCTCCCAAGGCCTAGACATGATCTTCCAGTACCGAAGCGGCGCAGATTTCAATAAAAGATCCGACAATTCTAATTCAAAACAATCTGTTTTCCGTTGTGGGTTTATTTGAAAAGGAAACTCCTTAGGCTATAGAGCTTGCATTGGATGCGATACGGGGCCACAGATCAGCGCATTCCTTGGCCACGGGCCCAGTGATAGCCGAGCCCTTCATTTCGCCCTTGTTGTTCACTATTACCCCGGCATTGTCTTCGAAGTATATAAACACCCCGTCCCTCCTCCTGAACGGTTTGCGCTGCCGAATCACCACGGCCGGCATAACCTGGAAAAAAAAGCATAAACAAATTAGTAAAGAGGTTTCAGTAGAAGTATTAGGGTAATAACGGTTTAACAGGTTGCTCCGCTTTATATCTATAGCTGCTTAATTAGATTGAGGATGAGAACAATTTACAGATTTGCAACTTGTAACCAAAAATGAATATATTCTTTTTTTGATATTATTTAATTTAAATTATCTATGAAACAAATTCGAAAACTTTTTTTTAAGTTCAGATTGCATTCATTGAGCTATAGAAAACGGCTGTTCTCTTGTTTTGAACAAAACTTAAATTCATGTAAAAACTTATGCTCACTTCAATCAGAAACCCAACAAATTTAAATTCCTATTCCTAACCCAAAAGTTTCTGATTGAAGTAAGTAACGCTTTTGGTAAAACTTTCAAATTTATTTACACTGTACATGTATGATATTTATTTAAGAACCGAGCCGAGATAGAAGTCGATAAACCAAATAAAGCAAATATGTTGAGAAATAATCAAACGTACTAAATCTATTCAATGAGGTTTTTAGTCATCAATAAAAAAAACAATTGATAGTTTAATTTACGCCTAAAGTTTATGCGACAACAAAGCGTAAGAAATGTGCTCTGAAGCGATTTCTTATCTTTACCGGTTAAAATTTAGTGCTATATACAAGGTTATGGCAGTCTGTTTAAAATAAGGAATATTTTAAGTCCAATCTCTTTTTATATACTGATTAATAACATTTAAATAAAATCGAAGTTAAATGCAAAAGACAAAAACGTGCATTTATGCATAGTTGATTGTAGTTAAACACCGATAAATATTAAATATTACAAAAACATCAGATTAATTTCATTCAAAGAAAGCGCACAATAACAAAGTTGGTAAAAAAACGTGTTCACTGGTGGCAGGTTTGATAGCCGATGATGGGGTATCATTAAAAGCAGGAAAGAATTTAAATACAACTGCCTATTCGAAGTCCCCGGGAGCACACTCACCTTCTTCCTGAGCTCGGGCTTTCCCTTCTTCACGGTGGCCACGAACATGTCACCGACGCCAGCGGCGGGCAGACGGTTCAGACGACCACGGATTCCGTGCACGGCGATCACGTACAGGTTCTTGGCTCCGGTGTTGTCGGCACAGTTCATCACGGCGCCCACGGGCAAACCGAGGGAGATGCGGAATTTGCCTCCCGCGGTACCTCCACGTCCTAAATTGGGCGAAAGCACAGACAATTAGTTGGGGCATTTTGGTACTCTCCACACACACACTCGGCGGCGTCACATGCTCGCATTTTCACGCTTTAACCGCACATTTCATTCGGATTTTTACCTCTCTTCGACATTTTGCTGCTCGCGGGCTGGTTATTCCAAGATTATTCGCTAGTTTACCAATGGGATGAGTCAATTATTAGCAAAAAGAAAAACGTGGAGATTTATTCTACTTACTTCGCCGGAAACGAAAACGAAAAGGAGGGAAATACGGTGTGACCGCCGGTCTTCCGTCAAAATATACCATGAAATATCGAGAAAATATACTAAATATTACCAAGAATTTGGATGGAATGGAGGAGAACTTTGATATCGATTTTAGCATGGACTCAAACCATATGGTGTTGCTAACTTGAATATACCGAAAATCATGGAATCTAATTGGAAGTATTTAAAAAACAGGTTGGCACTACAGGCCGAATTTTTAGAGTATTCTCACCACGAGTAGAAAAGCGCTGGGCATAGATACATTTTCTCCCATGAGACACTTGCTAATGTACAATTTTACTGAATTAAGATAAGTGCATCTCGGCAAAATACAGTTTTGTTTAAAACCTTCTTTAGGTGGAATATTGATTGCGTTGAGAGGTAACTCTTCGGAGGCTACTCGTTTATTTTTTGTAATACTCGATTACTTTGCCAGTTTTGTCCTATGGGCCACCACTAGCACAACAAAAAAATAGTTCTAAGCAAATCGAAAAAAAGGCGGGAAACCTTAGGTGCGGAAAGAAACAAAAAATACACACATGTGTCATAGAGGAGGCGTCTGAAATTCGAAATAATCTAACACAGATAACAAAAGTAAGTAAAATTCGTGCACACTTTGGTTGTTTTTAAGACACTCGTTGTGCTCACTCAAGCCTCTCTAGCAAAATCAAAACAAAAAACAGCTGATAGCTAACTGCAGTTTTTACTTTTCACGAGCATAAGAGAGAATTGGCAAAAAACGGTAAAACGGCCAGCAAATAACTGAAACTAAGCATTTTTAAGGTCGTTAAAGTGCAACACCATTGAAAAGCAACCAGAACGTCCAACGAAGGGTGAAATTGCCATTAAATAGGGAATTCGGGATACACATTTACCGGAAGTAAAGACACCAAGTACTAACCATGTCTGGCATTGCAATCACGCGTTTGGGCGAGGAGCGAAAGGCGTGGCGCAAGGATCACCCCTTCGGATTCGTGGCGCGTCCCGCCAAAAACTCGGACGGCACCCTCAACCTGATGATCTGGGAGTGCGGCATTCCCGGCAAGAAGTCCACCCCCTGGGAGGGCGGCCTCTACAAGCTGCGCATGATCTTCAAGGACGACTACCCCACCTCGCCGCCCAAGTGCAAGTTCGAGCCGCCGCTGTTCCACCCGAACGTCTATCCCTCGGGCACCGTCTGCCTGTCGCTGCTCGACGAGGAGAAGGACTGGCGCCCGGCCATTACCATCAAGCAGATCCTGCTGGGCATCCAAGACTTGCTCAACGAGCCGAACATCAAGGACCCGGCCCAGGCGGAGGCCTACACCATTTACTGCCAGAACCGGCTGGAGTACGAGAAGCGTGTCCGCGCCCAGGCCCGCTCCATGGCGGCCACCGAGTAATCCGAGTCCCGCTCGCGAACTTCCCACATAGACATAAGCAAATATCCATCTAGGCACACTCAATTCAATGCTCTCCATATCTATATACTCTTACTAAGTCTACTTGTGTATGTACATATGAATTTTAACCGAACTATACTGCGCACACAAATCACATTTGTTTATATCATAAAACGCATTTGATGTAAGCCATTATTTGTACTCCATCTTAATAAAACCAATAAGTTCTGGAAGTCTTATTTCTATTTTTTTATATGCCATGTAAATTGATAAATACTTATGGGACAGACTTTTAATCGGCAGTGTGAATGTACACGTGTAATGTTTGCCAACCTTTATTTTTGGCATAAGAAAGGTTTACATCTATGTATAAAAAACATTTTTACAATAAAAGTTTGATTTACTGATTTTAAATATATAATATATGACCCTAAGTAATTTTCTATTTGTATACCCTTCAGTCAAAAATTTGGAAAGCAAAAAAATATATTTCCGAATTTGAATGCCAAATTTAGTTATTGAATTTTTTTTTTAATTTTATATCCAAGTTTATTTGTTTTTCATTTTAAATTAAATGTTAATCTTCGGTTTTTCCTGCTGTGATGTACATTCAAATACATATTTGGAGTTAGTAATAGGTGGTTGATCTGTGCTAGAGCTCACTGTACGTGGAACCAGTTGAACCAGAGATAAGGTTCCGGGGAAGAGGAAGCAGAAGCCAGCTGTTTTGCTATTATCAACTGTTGATTGCACTGACTGTTTTGCATTGTTCCCGTTCGGAGGGAGAAACAAAGAGATGTGAAAAGACCCGCAGAACATTCCAAGAACTCCGCCCAACAAGATGCATTCCGCCCAGGCGCAGGCTCAGGTCCGCGACAAGATCTTCAAGAGCTGGTCGGGGATCAGCGAGGTAACCATCATCAAGGAGGTGGCCACAAAGGGCGAGCACATCGATCTGTGCTTGGAGTACTGGGCGCGTAAGCGGAAGATCCCCATCTCGGAGTATCGCCACTACTTCTACGATGTGGTGCAGGCCTATGTGCAGCGCCTGCTCTCCGAGAGACTTGTCTGCAAGGCGGAGGACGTGATCCGGAATGTGGACCGGGATGTGAAGTGCTTCTTCTTTCAGTTCGCCTGCGAGTGCCAGGACGAGGAGTTGAGTGAGTTCGTCCTGGACCACCTGCGCAGTCGGGAGCCACTGATGTACGAGCAGGAGGAGCCAGTGCTGGCCTATCACTGGTCCTTGGTCCAGCAACTGCGGGAGTGTGGTGCCCTGGTGGCCAAGCACCAGATGCAGCTGCCCCGTGTCCACATAGAAGCCCTGATGACCCTGCCCGAGGAGGCCCTGCAGTTGCTCCTCGTCGAACTGTACTTCGCCAATGGCAATGAATCTCTGCTGGGATCCCTCTCCAAGGAACTGGTCTGGCAGCACCTGGTCGATAGCAACCAACAGACGAAGCTCCAACGTTGGTGCCGTTGCCAGGAGGAGGGTGTGGAAGCCCACGAAACGCTCCAGCCATTGGAGCAGGCTTTTGCCGCCTGGAAGATAGATGACAACATGTACGAGTACGCCCTGGAGCAACTGCAGCAGCCCAGCGAAGTGCTGCGAAACTTCTTTGCCCGCGCCGGCTACTTTTTCTCCGATGAATCCGGCGATATTCCCACGCTGCTGCGTCGCCTGTGCACCATGGAGTGTCTGGGCAAGCATGCGGATCTGCTCAGCCGCCAGCCCCTGGCCAAATATCTGCTAGATCGTGGTCATCACTCGCTGCTCCTCATGGAATGTGTGCCCGTTGCCTCGCTGGAGCAGCTGGCGAGCACTGAGACCCATCAGGAGGCCCTGATCAATCTAATAGTCGATCTGAAAACCAATTCCCTAACCGAGAATGAGGGATTCGAGCTGGTAAGTAGGGAAATAAAATTGTAATAAGCCTTTTTCAGTACTCATTCTTAGTTAAAAAAAAGGTTAAAAAATGTATAAATATTAGACATCAATTAGTTATCATTTTTCTTATTTAATGTTTGTATACGTTTCTTTTGTTGATGATTGGATGTTTATACATTCAATTCTTTCCTTTGACAAAAAACGAATGTAAAAGGTTGTCTTTATCATTCCTAACATTGAGTGTATATTTCATTTTCTAAAAACTGTATTAATGCGTTTTATAATGTCTCGAATTTATAACTGATTTCTGAATCTTTCTAGATTTCCAAGAGCGTTCAGGCGTACTTGGAGAAAACACACGACACCGCAGACTCCTTTGAAGGGCACCCCTTGCTCACCTTCTACGATTTTCTGGGTCAGGAGCCAACCGTACGCTCGCTGGAGGGTTTTCTTACTAGCACCAGCTTGGGTCGAGTGCCGTATCTCAAATCGCTGACAGCTCGTTTCGATCACGGACCGACGAGCAGCAGTTTCGGCCTGCCCACGGCTCACGATCTCTTTCTGAAGTTTAAGCAGGTCAACCTGCCGCTCCTGGCCACCGTTGGACATGGTGAACTGGTTAGCTTCTCGAATGCACGCCTCTGTCAGCGTTATGCCAGGAAATCTCAGCTAAATTACACCCACTATCTGAAGCAGCAGAGGAGCGCCTATGCCGTTTACTACCTGATCACAGAGCAACTTCAGCTATACGGACAGATCACGAAGACGCAGCTCTTCCACGCCTGTGAGACGGTCACCCAGATGGCATTGCAGCACACTGGCGACGAGGAGCTGGTCACCCATTGCGTGGCCTGCTGCGAGATGCTGGGCTTTGATACCCAGCCACTGAGAAGCTTCCTCCTGCTCCAGCGAAAGCTGCCCAAGCGAAAGAGCGGAGAAAGTTACTCGGAATTGCTGGCCGGATGGGATCGGGATTTAGTCCAGCAACTGGAGGCGAATCCCAGGGAATTTCCTTTGGAACTCTATCAATCCCTAATGCGGCTGGCTGTGAGGGACACTCCAGGAAAACTTCCAGTGGCGTTGCTCGAACACTATGCCTCCAGAAACGACTGGTGGCACTTGCTGCTCATCTTCCAGTACTTCGATCTTCCATTGAGTGAGCTAAAGAAGCTCTTGCCGCACTTCAAGTGCCCTCCACTCGGTGTCCATCTACTGCGCGCACTAAGTTACGAATCCTCCGGCGATCGCCATTACAAAAGGGGCTTCCAAAGACCGCCTCGTCGAAGTGGGGAAACCCAAACGAACTCGTCCCAGGAAACGATGACCAACTCTTCGCACAGTTCGAATCAGGATTCCAGTATGCAGCAGCTTCAGAGAAACACGGATCAGTCGCTGTGCACTCTGCTAACTCACACCGCTCGACAGGATCTCTTTGCCATTATACTGTGCAGTACCAACAGTCAGCCAGATGAGCTGATTCCGACCACAGCAAAGTTCTTGGAGATGATGATGGGAAATATTCCGTACTGCAGTAGCATTAATCTCCTGAGGCACTGCATTCGACAAGAACTGCCGGTCCTGGCTGTGCTGGCCGCCACACTGAGCGAACAGAACCGCGATTGGTGCTGGCTCGTTTGGCTGTCGGTGGCCAGCGGTCAGTGGAGCCATCAGCTGCAGGAGGCCGCCAAGGTGCGCGAGGATAATCGATCGGAGTGGGTGTGGTCAGTTATCCGAGAAGCTGTCGCTGGTGGACATGTGAATGCTCTTCTACACAGCTTCGAAATCTTTCAACCTGTAAGCTTAACTTATTATAAAAATATATCCTTGCTTTAATGAGTTTCTCTACCAGGACTGCAAGTTCACACATCTGTGCCGCTTCCTGCAGCTGACAGCCCACCAGGAGGATTTCAGCGATGCCACAATCGTGGAGCTACGTCAGTTCTTTTTCAGCTGGAGCCAGGACGCAGTAACTCTACCCCTTTGTGGTCCCCTGTCCCGAAAGCAAGTGATGCATCGCTCTCTTGGTCTTCTGCTCACCCAACTACAGTCCAATTTCGACTGCATTCTGCAGCAGCAGCGATTCCTCGACTGCATCTGTCGCTCGGATGTGGGTGACATATGTGATCTGCTGGATTTCTGTCTTCTGCATAAGGTTTTCGGAGTGGCAGCCACCTGGCTGCGGAAACTGAGCATTGATCTGGAGCAGCTGGTGAGGAGGGATAGCTCGGAGTACAGACGACTGGTCGATGCCCTCACTGAGGCACGAGCTTATGAGGAAGCCCTTCAGTTGGCCACCTTGCTGCAGCTGCCACTGAGTGATATTGTTTATGGCAAATGGATGGCCGAGCTGGAGGCCGGAGAAATAAGACCCCATCAGGAGTATGAGAAAGAGATCCAACAGCATGCTCTGGCACCCGCCATTCTGGTTAACTTTCTGCTGCAGGCAGCCTCCTCCGTTGGCCAAGTGGCCAATCTACGCCGATATGAGCTTCTTCAGAGCACGCTCGGCGTGATCAAGCAACACCATCTGTTCCCTAACGAATCCTTTGATCGCGATCAGATTGAGTACGACATGGTTTTGTGCTACCTGCAACTGCCGGAGGATCAGCTCTCTCTGATATCCATCTACCACTCGGAGTACTATGAGCAAATCATGCTCCAAGAGCGTTGTGTACTCTATAAATCATTCTCGGAACTCAAGGAACTGGCGGGAATCGATGACCTTAGCATATCTGATAAGACACAGCTATCTTCGGAGATGGAAACCAGACTCAATACTTTATTAAACACCCTACTGGACGAGGGCGACATTGTGGAGGCACTGCGTCTTCAGGAGCTTTTTGAATTCCGACCGAATGACCTACGATTTATTGTGTTTGCGATGGCATTGGCCGAAGGCATGACCAGCATTAGTAATCTGTCGAGCAAGGAACGCCAGCTGCTGGGTGAAATCGAGAAGAGTGCCTTTCCAAAGTTCAATCGGATCACTCTTAACCAAAGTGTAATGACTCGTTGGGACAGCGATCTCTCCGACAGCTGTTCGGACAGTGTGGCGATGGAGTTCGAGGAGATTCCATCCAAGGAGAAGCAGCAGACGCTGGACACATTGCTGGGCATTGGATCAAAGTTGAAATATGGTGTGGAGCTGGGCAGGCGAATTGTGCTTGCCTACAGGGCGGCCATGTATCTGGACAAGGAGTATCTGGATGTGCTGCGCACCAAGGATGCTGGTATCCTTTTGAAGAGCGCCGCTGCCGAGGATTGCCTGCAGCGTCTGTTGGTGGTCAGTGATATACAAATATCCACACGGATGACGCCTAAAGAAGTAAGTCTTTATATATAATCTTCTAAAGTTACAATCAGCTTAACTTTCTTTTCAAATTCCCACAGATTGCCGAATGCTTGGCCATGGAGCTGACCACCTGCATCGTACGACCCCGGTTCTACATCTTCCATGCCAGAGAGCAGCCAAGGAATGCCCTAAGGAACGCTGATCTCTGGGGCCACAGCATCGATAAGGATTTCCACTTGTTCCTTGATCTGGCTCCCAACTCAACCATGTTGGGCAATTGTCTGCTGGAGTACTGTGATGCACTAAAGGCCTATCGCCGCTACCAGAACGGCAAGGTTTTCGAGGAAACCGAAGCCTTTGATAATCTCTCTAAGATAATAACCCTTTATGGATTGCCCACGCCCACTCCTACGGGCACATTATCGGGAATACCTCAGGTTTTGTCCCACAAAAAGCTGAATCAAATCTATGTAGAGCTCTTGATCAAGGCGCATCTGTGTTTTGTTCACGAGTGCTCCATGGAGGGCATTGTGAGTGTCCTCCAGAGAGCGAAAGTCCTCAACGGACAACTGGCCCAAGCCAAATCCTGGTCACTCATTGTGCGGATGCTGATTGGCATTGCTCGCTACCGCGAGATGTTCTACTGCTTTGACTCACTGATTGAAAACGAGCAGTTCGAATCCTTGTTGGGGCAGTTCGATGAGGATCAGAAGGGCGGACTTCGGCAGGCCATTCTCAGCTACCTAAGGGAATATCAACCAAAGAATGGAAAGGAACTGCTGCGACTGGCGGCCCTGCACTTCCTTATGTACAAGGAGCTGGCAGAGATGTGGACCGAGGAAGCCCAGGAGTTGGTGGTTAAAATTCAAACCATTGCCGAGCAGTCAAACAAGCTAAAGTGCTCGCCGGAGGTTCAAACACTTTTGCAACATGCCTTGGAAAATTACACACACGCCACGGAGAACTATCTGTTGGACAACAAGCTTCTGCTGGCCCAGCAGAGTGTTTCCCGGGCGGAGCTGATGGCCATGCAGCTGGATCTCTTCAACAGGGCTTTGGAAAAGCGGCAAATGTGTGTGAGCGTCATTGGAGTGCGGTCAAGGGAACAGTTTCGGGAACTGGTCAACAACCATTTAAGGTATGTCATTTCTGAAACTAATTTGGTATAGTTCCTTTGCTTAATATGTCTGGAATTTCAGCGTACCACAGACACTGATACTTAGTCGAGCCTATGGCTACGACATTAACTGGAGCGAGGCCATCTTGTCCCAATTTGTTGTGCTTCAGGTGGGGAACTATCTGCAGGAGTATCTGTGCCATCAGCGCATTAATGACGATGTGATTGAGCAGGTGGTCAAGGGGTAAGAATGCAAGATATTTAACTTACCTTTCCTATTAATAATTCTTATTAATTTTCTTAGCTACTTGCTGTTAAGCGAGAGCAATGCCACAAAGAATAAACAGGAGAAGTCACTGGCGCAGCTGGTGGAACTCATCAAATCGGTGACCCTCAAATACAAATTGGCTTCTATTTTGGGACTCAAGTCCATCGTGATGTCGCTGATCAACGATTCCCCAGTTTACTATCTACGAGACACTAATTTCGGTCGCAGCGAATTCCACACAGAAGCGGACACGTGACATATATACCATTGTGATTTTAAACTGTTTTTATACAACAACATTATTACTGAATACGTTATTAAAAATACACATTTACAAATAATTAAATTTTTCCACGTAAATCGTTTCCTCAGGCGCCTTGGCAGGCGCTTCTCCTTTTGGTGATGCTCCCGTTGTGGTTTCTTTGGATTGTGCATCATTCCACGGTTGGACAGTCATTCGACCGAAGATCACGTAAAACAAGTTGCCCAGGAACAAAATCACAGAGATTCCAAGGAAAACAGTACGCCATTGCGTGCGATCCGACTGAAATTGAAGTCAATTTGCAAATTATAATATTTAAATTATAATAACTTATACATATAATTATAGGAATAAGAAAATGTAAGAATATTGGATTCATGCAAGAGAGTCCAGTACATGTACTATCTCTAAAAAGTGAGTTCCATGCACCCAATATTATTATGTATCACATTTTAACTCAACTTTTCGTTATCCATTTAAATAAGTGCAATTATCGTGGTCGCTCACCTCATTGGTAACCGTCAGTCCAATAATGATGGGCGATATCACACCAGCCGCAGACATCAATGTGTTGCTGATACCAAAGAGAAGTCCAGCGAAATTGGGCGACAGGTCCACGTGGTTGAGTGAACTACCAATGGCCTGTCCAGAAATGGCACCTGTTGCTGCCACCAGGCAACACATACTGCCCACCACGTTCTGATCGCTGAGGTAGGATAGAATCACCAATGCCACAGCCGGCGTCCAGGTGGCAAACGAGTTGATGGTCTTCCGGAGGATGGGCAGGGAAATGTCCCGATGTCGGGTCAAGTATTCAGCCAAGAAGATAAACCCGTACGAGGACATCAGCATGACGACGAAGGGCAGTGCGGAGAGCAGGGCATTCATCGTGATGCTGTAGCGGAAGATCCCGTGGATGTACCGCGGAATCTGTTGCATCAGCGTGTAGAAGCTGCATGCCTGGCTCATCTTACACAAAGCCAGCACGATGAACGGACGTGAGGTGAGTACTTGGAGCCAGGGCACTGGAGGAGTCTTACCCCGAGCCACTTGGCTTTGCTCCAGATCCAGTTCAATATGTTTGCGCTCCGCCAGTGATATGAATCTGGATTCGGATGGGCTATTGGCGCCATAACGTAGGAAAAGAAGGCACCACACAATTCCTAGATATCCTGCGATTAAAAATATTTATTTGTATATATATCGCTTTCTTAAAAAAAAAAAAAATAAAAAAGTAAATAGTAAATACTGAAAAGTTTTATTTAAAACATTTATTTAATCGGCTTTTTCAATCGATAATACTGCTAAAAAAAATTGTTCTTTGCTTATTTTTTTTGTTAAAACGGTTTTCAAAGATTTTTCAATAACAAAACAATTTCAATACGTATATTGTGTTTCTAAAATTTAAAGAAGATTCAAATGACGCGTATTTAAAGTCAACTATGAAATCATGGTGTATATATCAAATTTGATATAATTTCTAATAGTTATAAGCTTAATGTTTTATTTTTAACTTTTTCTTTAAGTTTTTAAATTATAGCTTGCTGTACAATACAAAAATTGCTAATGAACAAACTTGGCGCGCCAGAATAATAACAATAATACAACAAAAAATGTCTAATTTTTTTTAGAAACGTGCTCTATGAAAAGTTAAAACGTTGATAGGTTAAAATATTCAAAATGAACTTCAAAAACTCAAGATTTATCTAGTAAATTAAGAGAAATAGCTTGAAATGGGCAAATGGTTGCGACTAGGAAAAGGAAGAAATACAGCGTGGAAAATTTTAAAAAATTTTTTTTGTTGAAAAAAAAAAAAAAAAAAAAAAAAAAAAAAAAAAAAAAAAAAAAAAAAAAAAAAAAAAAAAAAAAAAAAAAAAAAAAAAAAAAAAAAAAAAAAAAAAAAAAATAGTTTTACATTTTAAATAAATTAACGCGGGAAAATAAGTCATATTTAACTGAGACAAAAATCGAACTTGTATTAGTTTTCAGAAATAATTTCTTAATTTTTATTATGGTAGTTCTATTTATTTCTGCGAATTTTTTTCAACACCAACTAGCGTAAAATTAATTACATCTGGCCTCTTTTGAAACGCAAAACCTCATTAAAAATTCATTTATATGTTTTTACGTATTTATGAAAAAATAGTTGTTTTCTTACTTTAAAGTTTGTCTAAGTTACATTTGTAAAATAAAATAATAAAAAAGAACTTTTTCCAAAGCCGATTAGGAATATATGTATGTATGTCCTCATAAATAAGGGATAAATGTTATTAGGGATATTTAACGCACCTGGCACATAGAAGGCGCTGGGCCAGCCAAGTGGCGAGGCGGAGAGAACGCCACTCAAGGCAAATCCTATTATTGTGCCGACATCCAGGCCGGTGGTCATCACGCCGCCCAGGCGGTTGGCTTCCTTTTTGGGGCACCACTTGGCCAGATGGGTGTACAGACAGGGCCACATGCCACCCATCGCCAGTCCCTGGACCAGTCGCACCCAGAACAACAGCTGCCACCCGCCCCAAGCCAATAGGAAGGGCGTGGCAGTGCTGATCAGAGCGGTCAGAAGCATGATGGCCAGCAGCAGAAACTTGGCACCAAAGCGACTCGAGAGGTAGCCACTCATCAGGTGGGTGCAACAGGAACCCCAAAAAGGACTACTGAGGATATATGACTTTTGCTGCTCCGTCAACCGATATTCCGGATAGTTGGGGTTGCTGTTATTGGCATTTGTGAAGGCCACAATGGCCACGCTCATGTTGAAACGCTGCGCCACGGTCAAAGTAGCACATATAAAGAGGAACAGCACCTGCAGGTGACGATTGCCCCATTTGGGACCTGCAAAAACCAAAGACTTTGACAGCGAACTTGACCAATGCACCGAAAATTCGAACTCACCCTTTGCCACCAAGTTGAATGATCTTATCGTCATTGCGAAGCGCAACGACCACTTCGAGCAACGCAAATCACCTAACTGGCAAACTACAGATTGGCAATGCAAGTGAATAAGTAGCTGCGAAACTAGTTTACCCGCCAAATCAACAGAGAGGCCTGTTCTCCGAAACTTGAATTCTGGCCGCGTGCCAGCGATGTTCCAAGTTCTAGGCATGTACACACATATGCACACACTCCAATTGAAGTGATCTGGATAAGGCTGCATGGAAAGTGAAATCAGACACCAGAGGACAAAAAAATAACACTCATCACATGGTTACAGCTAATTTAAGTTATCTAAGTTGTAGCTTATAATAGCGAAAAATCGGCAAGCCGAAGTTTTTATACCTTGCATGTTTAAGTAAAATGTAACCTTCAATAAAACGAATTTTATGCTTGTATTTTTAAAAACAATTTAGTTATGTCGACTTTCAAATTATTTTTGTATCGTAAAATTATAGCTATATAATATAGACCTTTGATTTTTGGAAATTGAGTATATATTTCTGAAACCTTAAGAAGAAGAAACATCTATATCTCGAGTTATTTGGATATATAATGAAAACCAAGACGTATATGTTTAAAATAAGATACGATATGGAACCCCGATAGGATATACTACCTGCAAAAGAAAAAAGACTTTCGGGAAATTATCATCCAGAAAGCTTTAAACTTTTCAGTTTAAAGTAATGCTATTCATGTATGTATATACATAGTATATATAGTATATACTAAATGGGGTTCGAAACGAAATCAACCTGCGAATTTTCATATATTTAGAATAGATTTGTTATTTTTTTTAAAGAAGAATTTTGTAACGCAATTCCTATTATTTTTGGTAAAAACTAATGTTATTGTTAAAACTTAACAAAAAATATTTTACGTAAGTTAGTTTTATGAGTGTATGATTTTCCTCGTAAGAAAAAAATGTCTTGACATATTTAAGCATTTAATTTTCTCTTTAGCTTTTTCTAGTAAAATTTGACATAATTTACTGAAGAAAGACTTTTATTGTTCTAGCAACACACATTTGAAAAAGTTCAAATGAAAAACAAATCATTTTTTACAAAACACACAAGTGTGGCTTAAAGATGATTATCTCATAACCAGTAGTCAACCATTTTTGTTTATTGACGGTTTTATAACCCGGGCTACTTCAAATCTATTTCTTGCCCACATAACTCTACGTCTCGTGGGAAATTGTGTGGGGGTTGGGTATAAAAACAAACAATAACAATGACAGGTGCAAATTGTTCTTGCCGCAGTAGCTGGCAGTAAAGTTCTTATCAGAGAGCAAATATAACGCCGGCAGTCAGCCTGGCACTTTATATCAATTGCCGGAGCTAATTACAGTCACTTTGGTTCCGGGCATTAGACGGCTTTGTTTTATCAAATGAAAAAGCGATCGTTAAGCGATAATTACGTCTGAATTAGCCGCTGATAAGATAAGGCACAGAGACCTTCCTCAATTTAAAGGTAGTCTGGTCTCAGAAAGGGATTCCACGATTAATAGACATAGAGCATAAAGCATTATGGTTAGAAGTCACAAATATGGGCTTGCAAATTTTGGCCAACAGACATTTCTTTTTCAGCTATCAACTCGTGTGTGCAAAATAGTCAAATCAAATATATAATACTTACTTATCAAAAACAGAAATCAAAGATCTCTAACAAATCATAAATCTAAAACAATAAAAACACAATATTTAGCCTGAAGTGGTTAGTAAAAAGTAGAGCAAAGTGCACAGATTGGGTATCTGCATACCTTGGGTATAGAAACCAAATTAACATAGATCATATTTAACCAAGATCCCATTTTCAGCCACGAGCAGCTAGTTCAAATAGAGTAAAGTACAAAGAGCGGAGAAACAAGTCAACAGTTTATTTCTAATATCACAATTTTTTTTTTGTATTCAAAAACAGCTGTGGCAAATGTTTTTGAACCCATTGGAAGACAGAGAGAGTGCAAAGCACTCAGCTCCAGCTGTAGTTCCAGCCATTGACAATTGGTCGCATGAGCCCCAATCCAAAATAAATATGGTACTTATATACATTTATAAGATAAATTAACAGATTAGATTGCGTCGCCCGATCGGGCTCTTCCTCGATTCGAGTGCTGAAATCACGAGCGATTGGTAACAGAACAAAGCAATGCTATTGAAAATAATTTACTTAAGTCTCGCGCTACGGTCACGCCTTATAAATAGAATAAAAATAAATTACAGCCTACTTATGGTTAATACTGATTAACACAGTCAATTGTTCGGGGCGTCCACTTCCGCCACAAATCACTCGATGGCTTTCGCCGTGTACCGCTCGGGCCAACTGATTTGCTGCTCCAGAACAGGATCGATGGGTGGTGCGATCTCCGCCGCGGGACTTTTTGGCTGCTTCTCACTGGCGCATTCCGCATCCTTGGGCTTCAGGAAGTCATCGGCATCCCAGGGCTGCGCCTTGGCGGTGCCCCAAACGATAAATACCACGTTGCCCACAAAGAAAATGACAGCTGCCAGTCCAAAAACGATCTGCCATTGGCCGCGATTGTGCTGCGAAATTGTGAAATATTTATTATTGTTATTGATTTGTGGGTTTCTCCGGCTGACTCACCTTATCGGACACGATCTCCCCGGCAATCAGTGGTGTGAGGATGGGAATAACATTGGCCACCGTGTTGCTCAAGCCAATCAAAATGCCAGCGTGATTGGGCGACAGGTCGATGGAGTTCAGGGAACTACCAATGGTTGCCCCACTGTTCACGCCCACCGACACGGTCATCAGTACGATGGCCAGGTTCTTGTTCTCCTCGCTGAGGAATCCAATGCCGATCAGGGCGACAGCCGGAATCCAAAACGAGAGGCTATTGAACAGCTTCCTCACGCCAGTCAACGACAGGATCTTCTTCTTGAGCAGGACATCGGCAGCAATCAGATAGACGTAGGAGAGCAGCCACATGGCCAGGAAGGGTAGCGATGAGAACACCGCATTGCTCTGGATTTCCATGTTGAGTACTCCGTTCATGTAGGAGGGTATTTCGGCCTGGAGAGTGCTCAGGCCATAGGTTTCCGCGCAGCGCGTCACCAGGAGGGCCAGGAACGGCACCGAAGTCCAGATGGCCCTCCACGGAATGGGTATCGTGCGCTCGTGGAAGTCCTCGTTGTGCTCCAGCGATGATTCAATGTACTTGCACTCGGCCTCGCCCACGAATCGCGATTCGGTGGCATTGTTGGAGGCGAATATCAGCCAGAGGAAACACCAGGCGGCGCAGAGGGAGCCGGACACATAAGATATGCCCGGCCAGCCCATCGCTCCCTTGGCAATCATGCCACTGATGAACATGGCCAGCACAGTGCCGCAATCCGTGCCCGTGTAGCTGAAGGCGCCCAACCGATTCCTCTCCTCGGGCGGTGACCACATGGCCAAATGCTCCGTGACGCAGGGGAAGATCACACCCTGGAACAGGCCCTGCAAGATGCGGATGGCACAGAACACTTGCCATCCGCCCCAGGTGAGGCACCAGGGCGTCATCAAACTGAAAACGGCCGTGCCGCAACTGGCCACAAATAGGACCACTTTGGCGCCGAAGCGACGGCACAGGAAACTTCCAGGAAAGAGGGTAAGGATGTAGCCCCAGTAAAAACTGGAGAGTATGTACGACTTCTGCTTCTCGGTCCATTCAAATTCCTGAGGGAAGGCGGCCACGTCAGCGTGATTTTGGACTAATGACTTCATCACTTGAAACTCACTGGAAAATTGGGATTTGTGGTGGCCGCATTGGTCATGGCCACAATGGCCACACTGACATTCAAGCGGGCTATGTGCATCACAGTCAGCCCCAGAAAGAGCAGGAACGACTGCAAATGACGAACGCCCAGCCGTGGGCCCTTCGATGGCTTGTGGGTCATGATCACACGGCAAAACCAGGAAGCTAGTCCACTAGGAACACCTATTTGTTCGAGTTAACCCCGAGGTCTGTACTGCCGAATTGGTAGAATGGTTCTAAGCCCAGTCGCCATTGCATTGCCAACATTTATACGAGCACAGAAAGCTTTGTGAGCTTGGGCCGGGCCTCACAGCTATATCATTCACTCACATTCTGTTTGTCCGGGGACTAGCAGGTGAGTCCCCAGAGAGATGGCTCGGTGAAAAACAAGATCGGAGCTACTTTGACGCAACTCCTCGTTCCAGAAGGCGACTGACGTATCCGACCTATTGTACTATTCGCCAGCGGGCCGAGAAAGCATATGCATATGTTCCGACGTAGTATCAGTAAATATTGATGGATTTACACAAAGTTGGGCTGGTAGCTACAAAAAAAGCACACCCACTCAACACCAGAGACATATTTATTTGCCCCAAAAGATTTATGGCACTATTATCAACTAACGGTTTCTGTTCAGCACACCCAAAACCGTAGAGAAATTAAATCCGATCCGTAAAAAGCTTAAAACGGAAAGCGGAAAGAGGCACACTTAACATACCACTTGAACCAAGCAGACCACCCATACATGAATGATTTTATTTATTTTTTGGAATATTATTCTTTATGGCCTTAATCTAGTCGAAACAATGGAACGCACCTCTGATAAGCGATGCTACCAGTTAAATAAATAATAAACTAATCGATAATGTACCGGGCACACGGCCAAAGTATTTATATTGCTTCTGTCAATTTATTGAACTTTATTAAATTAAGGAAGCCTTAGATTAGCCGCACCGATTTCTTGGTTTTTGAAATCCGAGTGATTCCCCTTGCCACTCAGATTGGTATGAGCTAAAGCTCAATGGACTCGACTCTAGGTTATCGGAAAAGCTTTGACTATCTTCTCAGGGATTCGAAAGCTTTCTCAGATGTTCATTGATCGTAGTAGAGTTATCAAAAATTGGGTTTTCATTAATACCCGAAGCTTTCGTTGACATCTCAATCTAGCCAATCAGTTTAAATATAAATCTTTAAAAAATCACTACTCGCATTGGCATTTAAAATCAACTAGTGTTTGAAAAAGCAACTAAAATTTACAATCAATAACACTGACAAATGGGCATGACCTAAAATACGTGACAAGGCTGATTTACAACAGATTTAACAAGTAAAATTTTATTTTATTACTCACACTTAACCTAAAACTAATATTTTCTATAAATATTTATGGCCTTACATTTAAATGCATTTCCTATCTGCTGATAGCAATGGATTTGTCTTTGGTATTTTCGTTGATCTTAAGAGAAGATTCTTCTTTAGGTGTCTTTTGGCTGGATGGACCATTGGCAAGTTCAGGTTCCCTTAACTGCAGATAGTCTTCGGCATCCCAGGGTTGAGTAACAGCTGTGCCAAACACCAAATAAATACAGTTGCCCACAAAAAAGAAGACGGAGGCAATGATGAACACGATCTGCCATTCGGTCCGATCAGACTGAAATATAAGGATAGTGAATTAAAGCAAATTAATACATATGGTGAATCACTCACATTATCCTCTACAATCCATCCAACCACCAAAGGAGTGACAATGGGCACAAAGTTCGCTGCTGTGTTCACAATTCCCATCAGAATGCTGGCATGATTTTCCGACAGATCAATCGTGTTCAAAATACTTCCAATGGTTTGAGCACTATTCACGCCCACACTAATGGTCATCAAGGCAATGGCGTAGTTCTTCTGTTCCTTACCCAGGAATCCTATGCCCACCAAGGTGGCAGCAGGAATCCAGAAGGCTATTGTGTTGAAGGATTTCCGCAGGACCGTCAACGAAACTGAGTTCCTACTCATGAGAACGTCTGCTGCGATGATATAAATGTACGACATGAGCCACATGGCAAAGAACGGTAGAGCCGAGAAGAAGGCATTGCTCTTCATGTCCATGTCGAGGACTCCGTTCATGTAGGACGGGATCTCGGCCTGCAGAGTGCTCAGTCCCCAGTTTTGGCTGCATCGTACTATTAGCAGGGCCAGGAATGGAGCCGAGGTCCATATGGCCTTCCAGGGAATGGGGATAATGGTCTTGTGGTAGTTCTCGTTATGCTTTAGAGATGACTCAATGTAGTGCAGTTCCGCCTCTCCGATGAATCTGGATTGTGTGGGATCGTTGGCCGAAAAGGCAAACCACACGGCGCACCAGAAGAATGCGAATCCAGCCGAGATATAAGAGATTCCGGGCCATCCCAAGGAGCTCTTGGCTATCATTCCGCTCAAGAACATGGCAATCACGTTGCCACACTCGATGCCAGTGTGGGCCAGGGCACCCAGGCGATTCCTCTCCGCCGGTGGAGACCATTTGGCCAAGTGCTGGTGAATGCAGGGGAAGACCACGCCCTGTGCCAGTCCCATTAGCACTCGGATTCCGCAGTACGCCTGCCATTCGCCGAATCCGATGAAGAGCGGCGTCACTGTGCTGCAGACACCGGATCCAAAGACTCCCCAGAACATGACGCTCTTGACTCCGTAACGCTTGCAAAGATAACCGCCCAAGAACTGGGTGAAGATGTAACCCCAAAAGAAGCTGGACAGGATATACGACTTCTCTGCCTCGGTCCAGTCGTACTCCTATGGGGTGAGTAAAAGTTAAAGATATATATTTAAATACAAACTGAAATCTTACGGGAAAGTCCGGATTCGTGGTCTCCGCATTGGTCATCGCCACCACGGAAACGCCCACATTTAGCCGGCCTAGGAACATAACACTTATGTTGAGGAAGATCAGGAGGGCCTGGACATGCCGCATTCCCACTACGGGTCCTGAAACCATAATCAAAAGAAACTCTTATTATCGCAAGTACTTCCTGCAAATAAATCTGGATTGCTCTTCAGCCATCGTTATCGACGCCATAATTGGAGTGATTTATGACCACTCAATGGGCGTGCGAAATACGCCGATTTGTCGAGCGGAGTGCAAGGTCTGACTTGTTAAAGGCGTGTAAAGTGTGTCAAGATCGTGGGATGTAATTCCATTCACAAACTCGTATCCGAACCGAAGGACTTTCTTTTTCCACACACCTTTGTTTATTTCTGACGACATTGTCGACTTGATCGACAATTATACTAATCCACTATATTTAATCGACCGACCGGCAGCACGGTAGGACATTAAGTGAACGATTGCAGCAACATAGTGTTGATTTAAATCCAAGTTGAATTAGCCGATAAGCCATATTTGCGTTATCTGAAATTCCATCACGTGATAAGGTCAAACCGCGGACGAATTTAAAAGTTTGGGGAACACGGTACTTCAAAAATTCTGTACTTTTATGAATTATTATTAATTTACCTTGTCAAATAAATAATTTATAACAAAAATTGTGCTTTCTGTAGAATTCAACCTACTTATTCCCAAAAACTACTCTATTTCGGGCACAAATTTAATTCATAACAGCTGTGTTTATGAATTATTATTAATTTACCTTGTCAAATAAATAATTTATAACAAAAATTGTGCTTTCTGTAGAATTCAACCTACTTATTCCCAAAAACTACTCTATTTCGGGCACAAATTTAATTCATAACAGCTGTAAATATAAAGACAATTAATATTCTAGCTTATGTCATCAATATTATTTAAGGTGAATATACGTAAAGCGAATCTTTACAAAATACCAATACTGTTAAAAAAAAACGTAGTTGATTCCAAAAATTCAATTAAAATTTTTATATTTCGCTTTGATTTTCATATTTTATTTTATTACAATTTTTTAATATTTTCCATTTTACTATTTTCGAAACTAAATGCATTTAAATCAATCTATTTAAAATCTTTAAGTTTCCAGATAAGTTAAAATATTTTTATATTAAATCATGCAAATTAATATTATGATTTAATATATATGATTTGATATATAATTTAAACATTAAAGATCAAATGTAACTATCTTATATGAATATAAGAAATGTATACAAATGGTATTTTCCCGACATTTTTATGCCTTTAAGGCGTTACACCTATATAGGTCAAAGACATAATATACATCAAATTTTGAATTGTCCTCATAAATAAAGCGAAAGTTAAAATCTTTAACATCCAAACGCGAGCTGGGACAGAAGAACCAAAGTAGTTTGTGACTAGTTAAGATGAATACTTTGAGCGTCTAATGTTAAAAATTGCTGTTACACATTTATACATTGGCCAGTGATATAATAATATTATATTTACTCATATTAGAAATTAATTATTATAAAAACAGTTATTATCTATCCAGCGAATCCGAAGTCTTTTTAGGCATGTCCTTCGTTGCTCCTTGGAGAGCTGGAACTAGAGCTAGCTCAGGATGTCTCAATTGGAGATAGTCTTCAGCATCCCAGGGCTGCGAAACAGCCGTGCCAAAGAACAAAAATACACAGTTTCCAAAAAAGAAGAGGACTGATGCGATTATAAATATGACCTGCCATTCCGAGCGATTTGTCTGAAACATAAATTGATTAAGATTAATACGGGTTAAAATAATAATATATGTACACCCCAAGACTTACATCTTCCTTAACGATCAAGCCAACAATTAGGGGAGTTACGATTGGGACCACATTGGCAGCTGTATTCACGATTCCCATTAGAATACTGGCATGATTTGGTGACAGATCGATGGTGTTCAGCGAGGTACCAATGGTCGCACCACTGTTCACACCCACACTGATGGTCATCAAGACAATGGCCAAATTCTTCTGGTCCTGGTCCAGAAATCCGATTCCAATCAATGTGGCAGAGGGAATCCAGAAGGCCAACGAGTTGAAGGTCTTTCTCAGGGCCGTCAGACTTAGCTTATTTCCGGCGAGCAGAACATCGGCGGTTATCAGGTAAACATACGACATAAGCCACATGGCCAAAAAGGGTAGCGCCGAAAAGAATGCATTACTTTTCATGTCCATGTCGAGAACGCCGTTCATATAGGTTGGAATTTGAGCCTGTAGGGTACTCAGACCCCAGGATTCGCAGCAACGTGCCACCAAGAGGGCCAGGAACGGAGCCGAAGTGCAAATCGCCTTCCAGGGAATGGGAATTATGGTCTTGTGGTAGTCCTCATTGTGCTTCAGGGACGATTCGATGTACTCGAGCTCCGCGTCGCTAATGTATCGCGATTCTACTGCATTGTCGGCCGCGAAGATAGCCCAGAATAAACACCAGGCGAAGGCCACTCCCGCGGAGACATACGATATTCCTGGCCAGCCGATGGCACTTTTGGCTATCATGCCGCTCAGGAACATGGCGCACACATTGCCACACTCGATTCCCGTGTGACTGAGAGCGCCCAGGCGATTCCTCTCCGCCGGAGGTGACCATCTGGCCAAGTGCTGGTGAATGCAGGGAAAGATCAGACCCTGAGCAAAGCCCATCAGCACTCGAATGCCGCAGTAGCCTTGCCATCCGCCAAAGCCGATGAAGACTGGTGTCAAAGCGCTGCAGACGCCGGATGCAAAGGATCCCCAGAGCATCACACTCTTGACTCCAAACTTCTTGCAGAGATATCCCCCCAGGAACTGGGTGAAGATGTATCCCCAAAAGAAGCTGGATATTATATACGACTTTTGCGCCAAGCTCCAATCATATTCCTGACAAAAAAACATATTATCAGCATGGCATATTGTCGGTGATTGATTCAAAAGGCTAACCTTAAAATCCGGGTTAGTGGAGTCTGCATTTGTCATGGCGACCACAGATACTCCCACATTTAATCGTCCGATATACAAGCACGTTATGTTGAGGAAAATCAGCATGGTTTGAACGTGTCGCATTCCCAGTAGAGGTCCTATAATCACAAGGGCAACATAGTTATTATAGCAGGTATACTTCATAATGCGGAGGGTCACTATTCAGCAGAAATATCTGAAATGCGCTTGAAATTTTGTTATCAAAACCACACCAGCTGGAAAATGTATGAGGTGTGCCCAATGGTTCGACGGTTTATCAGTCAACGGAACCAACAAAGTATGTTCAGGTTATGGACACTTTCCAAGTACGAACGATTAAAGTCCAAAATTATTTTTGAACAGGATTTTCATTTTGCGTGCGGAACAGTTTGAACTTTTAAAAATTGTATTCTCTTTTATTTCTATCAAAACAAAATAAATTGACCTTTCTCAATTCTTTCTTAAATTAAGACATTTTTAAACCCATTCGTGTATCTTTTTTCCTCACCTTTATTTATTTCTGATGTCATCTTTGAAGTGTCAATGGAAAGGCGACCCTTCTGCGTCCGAAATTGTACACTAATTGAACATGAGTGAAGCGCGGAAGTGCCACACTTTGCCACGATTGTAATCGTACGAGCTTTTAATCAACTTTTAGCTAGTCAGTTAGATTATCCAGTGATAAGGTATTAACGCGTGCGTTTCAACACAAAGAGTTCATGTCATGAGTTAAGAGAACATGGCACGCGATTAGGATCATAGACCATTCAAAATGGGAATGTTGATGATTATACCAAGATTAGTAGATTGGTAAGCCTAATCTGCAGTCAGGACAAATCTACTGCCACCACGAAAATAGAATCCAAATAGCCCAAATATGTACTATGGACTGTTATGATCAGTCCAACCATAATCAATTAATTACATTTTTAAAAAACTGACCTAAGTTAATACAAATTTTGGCGCCCTCGGTTTGATTAGCTAATATCTTTACCAAGATGATAAGCAAAACAACTCAAAGGTCAGAATCGTTTTGGAGTATTTCAAAGTGTCTAGGGCAATATTATCTCTGGTCCAAATATTCCCACGTATTTATGTCAACAATACTTGTTACGCCTTCCTCTCTTATCAAAATTCAATTTGCAGAAAGCTTAAACACATGTCAATTTAATTGAAGGACCAATCGATCTTATTTTCACATGACACATACGTCAATTGCTTTCTTATTTACAATCAGTACTCCCACTGCCTTTATAGTAATCAGTGTTCATTGATAATAAATTGACATGCTGCCTATTTCCAGAAAGAAGCTCAACAAGGTCGTGGATTATTTGATTTTATAATCCTATATTTACAACTTAAATTAGTCATTGGGAACACATTGGACTTATTTTTAGCTATTCTTAAAAAGGCTCTTGATAAAAAAGAGTTCCGGACCAGCCGCGAGTAAAATTCATGGGTGTTTTCGAGTTGTAGATAGTTTGATTTTCCCAGGAACTCAACTTTCGTTCTTGCTAAGATTCTCCTCAGTTATATCCATTTTCTTGGGCTCATCGCTCTGTAATCCAGCCACACTTTCCTTGCGTTTCGCTTCCAGAGCCTTGGCATTTCCATCCTCCTGCAGATTTAAAGATCTTTGCTTATCCATAAAGTCGGGTGCATTCCAAGGCTGATTAACCATCTGACCGAAGGCTAGATAGATTATGTTGCTCACAAAGAAGATGACCGCGGATATGATGAACACAATTTGCCACTGCTCCCGATCGTGCTGAAAAGTGTTGGAATGGTGGAGATGGTGGAAAAATTTAAATAATAATAAATAGGTATTTATACTCACATCATCCTTAACGATGATTCCAACGAGGAGGGGCGTTAAAATAGGCACAACATTAGCGGCCGTATTAATAATTCCCATAAGAATGCCAGCATGATTCGGTGACAAATCGATGGTGTTTATCGTACTACCAATCGTATTACCAGCATTGATTCCCACATTGGCGCACATCAGCACCACGGCCAGAGTCTTTTGATTACTGTCCAAAAAGCTGACGCCGATCAGTGCGAAAGCGGGCACAAAGAATGCTATCGAGTTCACAGTCTTCCGAATGCCAGTGATGGACATGACGCCCCTGGTCAGCAGGATATCCGCGACGATCAGGTAGACGAAGGCCATCATCCAGGAGGTGAAATAGGGCAGAGCCGAGTAGAGGGCATTACTCTTCATGTCCATCAAGAGGACTCCGTTCATGTAGGCGGGCATCTCGGTCTGCAGAGTTGAGTATCCCCATGACTGACCGCATCTCACGATCATTAAAGCCCAAAAAGGTGCCGACGTCCAAATGGCCTTCCAGGGAACCGGAATTGGTCCCGAATCCTGTTGCTCTGCTTCCTCCGCTTTGCGGCTGGAGTTGATCGAGGTTTCAATGTAGTTCAGTTCCGCCTCACTGATAAACTTGGACTCCCTGGGCGTGTTGGCTCCGAAGATCAACCAGATGATGCACCAGAAAACGCCCACACCACAGGAAACGTAGAAGATTCCGGGCCAACCAACGCTGGAGGCTGCCAGCAGGCCACTGGCAAACATGGCCACCAGTGTTCCACAGTCAATACCCGTGTTGGCCAAGGCTCCCAGGCGATTTCTCTCGTTCACCGGACACCAGTTGGCCAGATGGGCGTGGATGCAGGGGAACAGGAAGCCCTGGAACAGTCCCATGGACATCCGGATGACGCAATACGCCTGCCAGCCACCCCAGGAAACACACCAGGGTGGAAGCAAGGCCAGAAGAGCTGAGCCAATGGTGGACACAAACATGGTTATCCTGGCTCCAAAACGCCTGCAAAGCCATCCACCCAGGAACTGCGTCATAATGTAGCCCCAAAAAAAACTGGATAGGATGTATGAACGCTCCATTTCATTCCAGTCGTACTCCTATCAAGAATCATGAAGTCAATTGAATAACTTTAAAGGAAACCTCTTTTAACTTACTGGAAAGTCCGGATTAGTATTCTCGGCATTCGTCATCGCCACGACCGCCACTCCAGCATTAAACTTGGCCATATAGTTGACCACGATCGACAGAAAAAGCAAAAAGGCCTGCAAATGTCGCTGGCCAATCATCGGACCTATTGAATCAGAAATAAATCACATAAGTATCACGCTCAAGTGGGTTTGGAACTCCCAATTTAAACGTTTTCAGGCCAAAAATAATCCATATCGGCTGTTAGTGTATCGCTTCGTATATATATTTCTCTTGAGAAAAGTTGGTAACATTTTAGAAACCACTTAAATCAAAGGTTTAAGTTGAATTATAATCTGATAATGCGATTTAAATGCGATTTTTTAAATGAGAACAAATTGACACTTAGGAAATTATAGAACTTAAGTTTTCTGATAAACGCAAAGAAAAACAATTATACATTTTTTTTAAAATTATAAGCTAAAAAAAAAACATTGAAAAACTTTGTTTAAATATCCTTTTGTTTAAACTGTTTTAATTATCCTTTTGTTTTAAAGTTCAAGATTCTGATAAATCCGACATAGGTAGGTTGTTATTCAGATCGTCCTGAATTTTAAAGTCCTATTTAAGTAGAATCCTTTGAGATCCTTCAACTAACCCGTATTAGTTTCCGCCGTCATTTCCGCACCATCTAAACTCGTACCGCACACTCTAGAGATCGAAATTAAACTCAACTCTTAACTTCCAGCCAGTTGGCTTTACACCTTCCATTTCATTGGAGAGCTAATCGTCGCCTGTTTTCATGTGATACCCGCTTAATGGACTCTAAATCAGCGCACTTCACAAACACGGTATTGATAAGAGAAAAGCAACAATGAAACCGAGGGTTTGGACTCGTAAATCGGAGCGATAGCAGTTCCCCTACTGACAAACGGACAGGCGGACAAACGGACAAGCGGACAACTGATAGTGTCAGAGGAACGACATTAAATGGTGGTGGGAGGTACGGCGCTTGTAATCCGGATGCGATAGTGATGGAAAGGGAATGGCCCTCTTCAAGCAGTCTTACAACTCGGAAAACGTCATTGAATTTTCACGTGCTGTGGCTGTCTTTCAAAGTCGTGCTATTTATTGAGCCTCTTCAAGAGGCGGTGGCTTACTTTTAATCTTATCGGTTGCCAATGCCAATTATCTGCATCACGCCCACCCATTGGATCCTTGAGTCTTGTGCTGGAGGCCCCTTTCCCCTGAAACTTTCGAGAGATAAAGTGTGAAGCACTTTCGACCGATAGCGAAAGTTGTCCAATCAATCAGGGCGCCAGGTACGAGCGACTTATCGATGTCCTTTTTATATGGTACTTTATTGGACTATATAACGGCTTAAAATACTCTATGCTATACATATTGCTTGATCCGGTTCCTCAGCGGCTCTCCTCCTCCTCCTCCTGCAGGCGTAATATGTCCGCTTTGTTGATGAAGTAATAGCTTGGCTGTCGTCCTTTCAAGTCCTTTGCGGTCCGCTTGGCCCCGTTCTGAATCAAAATCCGGCTTACGCTCTCCAGCGCGTTGGTTCCCATGGCATAGTGCAGTACAGTGCGTTCCAGCTGGGAATTTAATCAGGTAAGTGCTGAGATCAAGATGTCAAGATGACCTTACTCACATTGTCTGGGATTTTCAAAGCCTCTGGACAGATTTTCACCATATGCTGAACCATTTCCTCCGACTCCTTCAGCACGGCTATGTGCAAGGCGGTACGACCTGAAGTTTATATTATTGAAATCAATGAAATTACTTTAAGAAATATGACATTTTCTTACCATAATAATTCTTGGTCTTAATCAACCACTTGGCATTGGCAACATCGGTCAACTCCAGCACTCGTTCCATGTTGTTTTCCCTGATCATCTGATGGAGTTCTTCGCGAGTCTCCTCCAAGCCACGCAGACTGGCCAGGAACTCACTGAGCGCTTCGTTCTGTCGGGATTGTACCACATCGATAATGGACTGACCGCTTTCGTCTTCGACGTCCAAAATGTGATCGTAGCCCTGCAGAGCCAGTTGTTGAAAGGGTTCCACGTCGCCTGGTTCGGTAAAGAGCTTGTATTAACACAACTCAGATGAGAAACTACTATAGTTGACCTACCGATCACTGCCTGAGCCAGGATATATCGATCGATCTCGGCCGCATTGTTGGGCTGGTTCGCTTGGAGCGAGACATCCCGCGCCGTTCGGTACAACTCATCGCGGTAGGTGACGTCGATGCCCGACTCCTCGATCAGAGTGTAGAGAGCGCCCCTCCGATGGGAGCGGGCACAGGCGAAGTGCAGCATACTCTGGCCGTGCTCATCCCGCTCCTCCATATGCTGCACCGCCAGCGCACCCTCCGCATCCTCCTCGACCAGGGATCGAGAGTCTAGTTCGATGAGATCCGCATTGGCGGGACCAGGACCATTTCGAGTGCCGATTGCCCGTTGGCTCGATTTAGCAATGGCCAGGGTGGAGGTGGAGCTGGTGCTGGCCTTGCTGCTTCCCGAGTGGACCTGCACCTCGGTCATTGGCTTGCGATCGCCCATGAAGTGCTGGAGGTAGTTGGTCAGATAGGCCACGGGATCTCTCGGTCTCTTATTGGCTATTTCAGTGAGGGCCTTAATCAAAGGATCGGCAAGAGCTAGGGAGAAATTAAAGTTGTTAAGCTCGTAGTATTGAATGTGTCACCTTAAAGAAATATCATATCTTAATAAGCATTTAAAACATATTTGTATACCCTTGCAGAGGGCATTATAATTTCAGTCAGAAGTTTGCAACGCAGTGAAAGAGACTTTTCCGACCCTATAAAGTTATATATTCTTGATCAGCATCACTAGGAGAGTCGATCTAGCCATGTCCGTCTGTCCGTCCGTTTCTACGCAAACTAGTCTCTCAAATTCAAAGCATGAAACCTTCCCAAATATGCATGTACATATGACAATCAGACGGAACAGTCGGAAAATAAATTTTAAAAATTATAAGCTTGCTGTTTATTAATTTTTTTTTTAATTTATTGACATATATTTATCATCATAGCTTCAATGTTTTTAAGCATTTACGCAAGTAAATCATAAGTTTAATGTTTTCAAGAATATTTAATTTTTAGCACTAGCTGCAAGGGTATATGAACATCAACTTGCCAAAGTTTGCTTCATTTCTTGTCCTATTAATGTTTCTGAAGTCATATACCGTATTTGACATTTTTTATTTTAAGTACAAACTCCCTTTTTATACCTGCCCATATAGACCTTTAAGCCATAACTCTTTATAACGATAAGACTTTTCTTCTTTGTGAATTTCACTAAATAAAGAAAACCCCGTTCTTATCTGAAATTAGTTTTTTAAAAATGTTGCTACATTTTTGTCACTTAACTTTAGGTTGAATGTACAGAATAAGCTATTACGTTTTTTTACCCTCAGTAAGTTAACTGAAAAGTTCTAGAATACTTACAATCAGCCAGATATTTGCCCTGCTCCGTCTTGAAGATGGGATTGGCCTGAAAGCTCACTGGCTGCGCCTGACCTGTGTGGGAAACAAGTTGGATTAGTTACTCCCACGGCCCAGGATATCTTCATTCACACTTAGTGGGTTGAGTCCCAGTAATCTATGTTCACAAAGCGGGCGGGGCAGCACTTTTTCGAGCGGGAAAGGAGTAAACAAACGAAGATGAGGATGCCGATGGTGAAACTCAAGAGACTTTGCAAATCATATAGAAATCGTGACAAGACCACAGTCATCGAGCAAAACACAGATACGGATACGGATACGGTTACGGTTACGGCTATGAAGGTGTAACTCAAAGCGAAACTTACGATTGCAGATTAACTTTAAGCGCAGCGTACGCGGAGGAAATTTTAGATGAGCAGACGAGGCAGGAATCAATCGAGTTAAGTATATGCATATATGTATTTAAGACTTTCTGTGCCGAGGATTTATTTGCTTTTGTATGTATGTACATTGAGGTTGGATTTATGACTTTCTTCTAGTTACGATCCACGATGCTGTTTTTCTTTCGCTTGAAGATCTTCACCAGCATGGTGGCAATGTGTTTGGAGTTCGTAAGCGACATATCCTTTTCCAGCGACAGGATGTTCGTGACAGCAGTGCAGTAGTCCTGGAAAAGCACGTACTCCACCACACCCATGCTTTGCATATTCACAAGGCGCACGGTGAGCTTCGAAAGGCGATTTGTCACCATACTCAAACCCCGCACGGAGCACAAGTGTCGCAGGTTGTCCATCTCCTTCATCAGATTGGGTAACTTTACTATGGTGGTCATCTTGAGGCCGGTGCCCAAGTAACTTGGTCTGGATTGCAGGTATCCCAGGAGGTAGCTCTCCTTGAAGTGCAACTGGGTTTCCAGATACGATATGGCTCTGCCCACTCTCGTGTAAGCAGCTCCCATGTCTGCCGGCTCTTTGCTGCTGCTGGTGGAGATTATTCTCAGGTGCTCCTGACAATTTAGCCACACTGCCAAGTTGTTGGCCGAGTTAACAAAGACACCCCTGCCATAAGGCCATAGGGCTCCATTGAAGGCCGTGGACTCGGCAGCCTGCACCAGATCCTGGGTGTCTAGGAGGGGAATCATCAGACCCAAACTGCTCAGCATAATGGCCACATCGGAATCGGGTTCCAACAGCTCGGTCATGGTGTAATAGTTTCCCGAATCCGTTTCGCCAATGGCATCTGCAAAGCTGGTCGTGAATATCTTGCTCATCATTAGGCGCTCCGCTTGCTCCAGTTGGCCAATAGTGAGGTTCAAAGGCAGCTCCAACTGATCTAGATTCCTAGAGACCTCCACCAAGCATCGGGTGACCAAAAGTGATTCATCGTCAAAGACAAAAGCAGCCGTGTTGAGCCTTTCACCGTTGTCCATTGGAAAGTAGGCCAGACGCGGTTGTGGCTTGAAATCGGCATCGATACTCAGGCAATGCATGTCCTTCAGCAAGGGCACCAGGAACTCCTGGAACACCACAAACACATCGAAGTCTGGGGCTATAATCCCGCAGTTGATGTCCTCTTCCAGGTGGCGAACCTTCGAAGTTTTCCGCATGGCAGGCCACAAAACATCGAAGAGATTGTGATCGAGTCGGGTTTGCCGTCGCTTGATCTTCTCGTAGACAGCCCGCTTGAGGAAGCGACTCAGGTAGCTGGTCACCGAAAGCTGCAGCGAGGATGCACTCAAAGGCTTTCGATGGGACAGGGCGGAAGCAGTGGTCCCGCTCAACAGCTTGCCCGACTCCGAAATGACGCTATAGCAGCGCTCCAACGTCCTCGAGATCTCGCCATCCTGCAGCTCCCGCCGGGCACTGTGCAGATCGTCGGGCACTGCTCGTCGGTTCCGGAGCAGCATTGGTTATAAGTTTTGGGTTGGACGGTTATCAGTTTGCACACACAGACACACCAAAGCGTAGACAGACACACAGAGACACAGAGATACGGACGGATACGAAGGGATACAAACAACGACACCATGACGGGTACGGATGAAGGGACTGCTGGGTGGGTGCTCAAGAAAAAGGCGCTGGGTGCTGGGGCCGGGCTTGTGCAACTCACTTACGTACCGAATATTTCATCTATATTGCTAATGATTTCGTTGAAAAACTCATTGCGATTTCCCTCCATTTTGGCTGATACCACAATCCACAAACACGTATACGCAGTGTGTGGCCACGGAGCGAAGGACACACGGTGTGCTGCTCGGTGCGACTGAAAATCGATGACTGACTTGGCCACAGCTCGCACGGAGCTCAGCTAGCCCCTGGGCTATAGTTTATAGCCCCCCCTCCTCGGCTCAGCCGTATGTTTGACTTGGCAAACAAATGTATTTAATTATTTCGGTTTACCTCGCTGTGCGTGTGTGTTCGTGTGTGGGGCTGCGAAAGCGAGTGTGAAAACAAAAACGCCACTAAAGCCACAGACAAAGCAAAGCGGCATAGAGTAGCGCTATCTGCGGAATGGGTGGATCGGGTGGCTTCAATGTGGGGTCTATGTGGGTGGTGGGTTGAGGGTGGGTGGTGGTGCCTGGTAAACGAACGGTCGAGTTGAGTTGCGGGAACAGCTGCACCGTTTCCTTACCCTGGTCATTGAGCAACTGGTTCTCCAGTTCCTCGGCACCGAAAATGTTGAGCAGCTCGGTGTAGTTGAGAATGTTTTTCGCCTTGTCCTTGTCCAGGTAGAACTCGGCCGAGTGGCCCAGCTGCGTGTGTTTGGTTATTGAATTTTAAATCAAACTCTGTTCATTATTAATTTCTGGCTAATCACAAATTTATGGCATATTGATTCACACCGCAGCAGACATTTGAAAGTCAAGTGTTGCAGCAAATCAAATGGGTCTTGACCCGATTTTGATTTCTGTTTGGGTTGAGTAAATTTAAAACGATTTTCATTTGACATTTGAAATGCTACTGGTCGACCACAGCTGCAATTGTTCCCAATGAACTCGAAAAAGGGTTCTATTTTTAAATATCCAGCACTCCTATTTTCTTTACAACAGTATTAATGGATTGAATTGGGTAAATTAACACACTGGGAGAAAGAAAAGCACAAAAACCACTTTAAATGCTGTCCTCAAGTATGCACTAAAAAATTCAGTCGTCTTTCGAAATAAATTGAACAGATTTCTAGATTTTGAAAAGATTGTTGCATACTTTTAGACACCATTATAAATAGTTTAAAAGTTGAACCAAAATAATTGAATTAGGAAAAACTTAAGTAACTTAACTTAAGTAATCAAACTCATTATGGAACTTATACTTTCACCCTTATTTAACAACAAGTTTGCCTTACATTTTTCAAATAAAATTGTTGCACTCTTTTACCTTTACAAGTGATTTAAATTTTGTTTTCAGTGACTGTTAAAATTGTTCACCTGCCTCACTTACCTTGTCCAGTGATTTGGGATTGGCGCCCAACTGCAGGAGCATGTTGTAGAAGTGACCGTTGTCCTTAATTGTGGCTGCGTAATGAAGCGGCGTGCGTCCGTCATTATCCGTAATGGTCATGGTCTCCGGAAAGCGGGACGCCAAGTACCGAACGATGTCTGGCCAGCGGAAGGGGGAAAAAGGAGAACCAAACCAAACCGAACCAATCATACAAATACAAATCGAAGGGAGGGAGGAAGGACCTAAACCTACCCGTGTGGCCAAAGAGCACGGCCACGTGCAAAGGCGTGGAGCCGTTGGGCGATATGTCGTTCTTGGCAATGGCAAACTTCCGGCGATCCAGAGCCTGCTGCAGTGCCAGCAGTCCTCCGTCACGTGCCGCGTCATGCACGCGATGTATTTTCTCCTGCCGATGGAAAACATGATGCATGTCGTAATTAGTGCGCCAGAAAGTGGCTCTTGGCTCTTCCTTCCTGGTTTTCCATCCTCGCTTACCATATAACTGGGCACGTTGTTGAGGAAGGCCTGTATTTCCGGCTCCGGGGACTTGAGACCCACCAGGCTGCCGCCCTCGCCATTCAGCACGATCTCGGCCAGCTGCTCCAGGTCTCCGGCCTCCACAATTCGCCTAATGCGTTCATCCTGCGGAGAACAGGAAGGCAAACGTGTCCAATGAAATGGCGTTGATGGAAAGACCGAAAAACGACGTAGTGCACGATTGAAAGCGCTAAGGGTGATGATGATTTGGGGTATAGTGAAATTCGATGGTTTGCAATATGAGTGTCTTAGGTGCGAACCCAAAAACAAGCCAGGTGAGCCAGCAACAGAGGGCGATAGGTGGACAGAGAAGAAAGGGATAGCTTTGTATATACTTCATCAATTGCAGTTTGGGACTGAACTGTAAAATCCTCGGGTGCACCTTGCACAAAGCCCTCAATGGCCATTGCCGATGTCAGGGACTCGTTGCCATCATCCTCCTGGGTCGCTTCGTGTCCTGGCTGTTCTGGCTCCTCCTGCGGATTGCCTCCTTTGCTGTCTGAAGCTATTACATCCTGTTCAAATTTATTTCACCACTTAAGAAATTACGTTTATATGGTTGGACAGTGAACTGGACATGGCTACAGAGTGCAAAGTCACATAGATACATTGAACAAGAAACATTTATTTTGTACAAGGACTAAGTGCTGCTACAGGTGACAATGCCAGTTCTGAACCCATTTAGTTTACCTAAATTAATATTAGAACACAACGTCTTTAATCGCCTTAGAAAATAATGGGACTGTCAAGCAATTAAACAGTCAATCCAAAGGAATATTAACTTGTTGGAAATCCCACATAGCGTATACGCAATATCACGCATACGCCTCGTTTTCCCAGTTTCTATTGAAATGAAGCCAGAAATAGTTGCTATAACTGCCATAAGCAACGCCCACCACTGCATTTGATTATCCCTAGCAAATGACTGCAACCATTTGAGGCGCACTTTTTATATTTAGTATACTTTGCCATATATCAAATATCATATATCTAATGCGTGCAACTGTTTTGACGTTTGCATGTTCAGTTCCCATTCGGACCCACAAACAACTGGAAGCCTCTGACAGTTGAGAGCCGACTCCGCACCCGACTCAAGCTCAGTCTCCGTCCGATTTTCCGTCTCCCCGTCTCGAAATGTCAGGCGGACGAAAGTGAAAACGCCCAAGTCGAGCTGCACATATGCATATGCATTGTATTCCGGGTCGCAGACGGGGTGCATTATTATAAAGTCTATCTGTGGGTAAACAGCTGCTGATTTCAGCCAATCGATAAGCACAAATTGGGGGCAGACACTGGCATTGATTCGATCTAAGACAATAACACACAGAAGTGAAACTGATAGGGAAACGGATGCGGAAATGGAAATGGAAACGGAATCGGAATCGGAAACAAACACGGGTAGGTCTTGAGGGTGCAATACATAGAAAAACGATAAACAAAAGACACAAGTTGCAGGTTTAGCATTCCATTTTTTAATTGGTTACTGGTAATGGCTACGTCTAGATATATTGTTATTCAAACTGTATTTTGAAAGAGGGGGAACATAACACTGGCTTTACAAATATAACTATGTAGTTGTATGTATATAAATATTTATAAAGGATTTCACTAGGCTTGGTTATATCGCTATCAAAGCGGGCTTATGTTGAAGTTGATTGCTAAAGTTTCGCATTTTGCTGCTGATTGGGTTGCGGCTGATGTTGTTGCTGTTGCTGTGGCTCTTGCAGTGGTAAAACAAATTGATATGAATGGAATTTGAGTGCCTGCTGCAGCTGCAGCTGATTGAGATATAGTTTTGTTGGGTTTTTTTGTTTGCAACATTTCATTTTACAGGTTCACATTGAAGAGGGGGGGTACGTAAATGGCTTGAGCGAACGGCACACACAAAACGTAAATAAACTACAAAACTTTCGAGGACACTTAGAGCACGCCCATCTGTACCTCATCGTCGTCATCGTTTTCGTTCTCGTTTTCGTTTTCGATTTCGTTCTCTGACTCGGCATCCTTCTCCTCCACGGACATGGTGGCCATTTCCGGTTCCGCTTCATCCTCAGCAGTACCTTCCGGCCCATTTGCTACATCCTCCGCAGAATCATTCTCCTTCTCCTGCTCCGCTTCAGTCTTTATGTTTCCTTCGAGCTCACTCACGCTAGCAGCCTCCTCTGGCTGATCCTCCTGCTCCTGCTCCTGCTCCTGCTCTTGCTCCTCCTCCTGCCCGTGATCTCCGCCATTCTCCACGATCGCCGCATCTCCGCCTCCATCCTGCCCCACTCCGATGCCTTCAGCCTCGCCGCCTCCGTCTGCGCTTACAGCTCTTGCAATATTCTGTAAAAGTAAACAATTGTCGACTGATTGCTTTCCAAGTGATTCAACAGTTTCCCACACTACGGTCCTCCGATCTCAGCCAATGTACAGCGGGCTAGGGATTTGGGCTCTAAACAAAAAGCGCAGAGTGCCGACAGAAAGGTGAAAGTGGGCGAAAGCGAGCGCCGACAATGGCTTACTTTCACAGAGTCGTTCCCCAAAACTGGCAGTGGTTAAATTTGCAAAACACCGAAAGCTATTTTCGAGATGTGTGCAAGCAAGCAGCTAACCATCAAAAGCAGGAAAATAGGGAAAATAAAACAAATTGGCGGCAGGACTTACCTCGGCCTCGCTGTCATCGCCATCGCCATCGCCATCGACTTCGCCATCGCCATTGATCGTGTTGAAAGTGGCCGGCGTTTCCGGTCGGCGCTGCAATGGCGAGCCGGCTTCCGCTTCCCGCTGTGCATCCGCCTTGGACAGCTCGTCATCGTCGTCATTGGCACTCGTACTGCGATTTCAAAATGCAAAAAATTCTCTCTCAAAGCCATGCCCCAAAAAACACACACACACATCAAAAACTCAACAAATCAAAAGGGAGCGATTGCATTTCGCCAGCAAAAGGCAGCCAAACTTAAGCTAAATCTGGAAGCTAGGCACCACCAACCAACCAACCAAGTAACTAACCAACTACAAATGCAGCCACCCACTCACCCCTCGTTGGTGTCCAGCTCCGAGGTGTTCTCAAGGCTGTCGTCCAGCGATTTGCTACCGTTCACCGACGGCGGCACCTTGATGTCCAGTTTCTAGTGGACGGGAGGAGGAGGGATAAGGGTAGTGGGAATCCCAGGGAAAGCCAACCCACTCACCTTGGAGCCGGCATCGCCGACCGCGCCACTGTCCACGCCACTGTCATCGCTCAAGGCCTCCCAATCGGTGGCGCTGTCGGGGGAGACACGCGGCGCATCCGGCACATAAACCAGGAAGGCGCGCTCGATTTCGTGCGGCTTGTGGCGGTAGTAGGAGGGTGTCTTCATTTTCTGAAATTGCCCCAATGAATCATTTTAATTGCTGCCCGAACGACAATATGAAAAGCCACCGTCTACACCCGCTCGACCCACATCGATTTTCATTCAAAATTACTTTCGTCAAAGGCTAGTATCCGAGTTATTTGAAGAACTTAAATTCTTCAACATGTTATTTTTTGATACCCGAACATAACTTTTCTGTAAAAGGTATGTTATTTGACTCCCCACAATTAATATCTTAAAAAACAAAAATAAATTTCCTTTAAAATCGTTATTACTTAAACCCCACAATTTGCAGCCCCTGAACTCACATCAATATTTGATCGTGAATATTTAATTAACTAAGTTAATAAAAGTTTTAACCTTGCAAGCCTTTCTTAACCCTTTCAAGCCCACTGTTAGCTACAGGCAAAATTGACTTTGCATTTCAATTTAATTCGGGAATAAAAGGGTTATAAAACCTTTCTTAGCCAAAACTGTTCATGCTGGCAGCAAAAAACTGTTTTCATTTTAGTTCTTTTTATACCCTTGCAGAGGGTATTATAATTTCAGTCAGAAGTTTGCTACGCAGTGAAGGAGACGTTTCCGACCCTATAAAGTATATATATTCTTGATCAGCATCACTAGTAGAGACGATCTAGCCATGTCCGTCTGTCCGTCCGTCTGTCCGTCTGTCTGTATGCAAACTAGTCTCTCAGTTTTAAAGCTATCTGCATGAAACTTTCCCAAAAGTAGTCTTTCTTTTAAAATCAGTATTACCATTTACATGTACACACAAAATCGCTAGCCTGACAATAAAATAAGATTAAATAACTTTTTAAAGCTACAATTTTTTTTGTAATCTATTTCGCTCAGTTTTGAAATCCTCATAAATAATAAATTTTTTCATTTTAATTATTAAAATAAAGTTGGTTAATAAGCCAAATATCATACTTTAATCAAAAAGTAAAAATCAAGAACTTAATCTTTATGCTTTCCCTACATGGAACCTGCCTTTTCTGGCTGCCAAGATGGTTGGCTTTTAACTAGTGAAAGGTTGCAATTTATATAAGATCAGATTACCCAGAAAATATGGGACTTAGTTACCCACTCACATAGTCGACGGCCTCCTCATCGCAGCCCGCTTGGGTGAGCAGGGTGTAGCATCGCATGTTGTTCTTGGCACTGGCGGCCCAGTGGAGCGGCGTCTTCCCGGTGATGTCCGTCTCGTGGGCCCCCTCCGGCCAAATGCCCACCAGGTACTCCAGGATCTTGGTGTGGCCCAGCCCGGCGGCCTTGTGGATGATGTTGAGCCCGTTGCCGTCCTTGCACGTTACCAGAGCACTGGGCACCGGGGGCTCCAGCTGCGCCTGCACGCTCTCCAGGCTGTTGTCGATGACCGCCTGGTGCAGATCCTTGATGGCATTCTGTGTGTGATAAGCGGAAATGGGGTTTCTCAGCGGGGGAAAGATGAGAGGAGGAGGAGGAGGAGTAGGAGAAGGAGGAGGACTGCCTCACCATGACATGGGGCACGGCGGCCAGGAAGCGCTTCACCCGCCCATTGTTGCTGGCCTGCTGGCTGAGCCGGTTGCCCTGGCCCGCCCACAAAATGCGCGTCAGCTTGCCGATGTCCTTCTCGTGAATCCAGATCCGAATGGTGGATAACTTTACCGAGAAATCTATTAGCCGAAAAATGGAAATTGAAAACGTGGAAATTAATTTACCCAGCACCAGTACCGACCCCTCCCCCTACGACCCTCCCCCTCCCCCCGCCCCTACGATCCCTTCGACACGATTGCGATTTCCAATTCATTTTCGCCCTTGTTCGTGCTTGCATGCAATTTGCCGAAAATAAAAGCCAAGAAGCCGAAACTGAAACTGAAACTGAAACTGAAACTGAAAACTAAATTAAAACGAAAATAAATGCAATGCAATGTTCAAGTTTGTGACTCCACCAGCTCGCTTAAAGTGGCATTAGTGGAAACTTGAGACAATTTCCGCCGGCGAAACTTTTGCCAACTTGAAATGCTTCAAGGTCGCGGCGCCAAACTTTATTCGCAGTACAAAAGTGGGTAACGCCCCCAGTTCGCCGTCGTATCCACATATTAAATCGCCGCCCACCAGCTGAATCATTTAGCGGAGTATTTGGAAAGCGAACACCTGGATGCGGAAATGCACTGGCCCATCGCCATCGCCACTTCTTACCCATTCCCCATATCAATACGCACCTTCATTATCACGGCGCTTGCGTCCATTTTGTCCACCCGTCTGTCCATTCATCGGCATGACTGCAAGGGGAGCAAACATCTAGGCTTAGAATCGAGTGATAGGCTTAACAAAATATGTAATAAATATATTTAGAGAATTGTGTGACAATATGCAGGAGTTAAAATCACTTGCCTACTTTCCTTTCGATGGCTTTCTTATACTTGCTTTTTAGATTTGCGTCTGGCTAGCTTGAGCCGCGTTGGCAAACTAATTCTTGGCCGGGTCGAAAGGTGTTGAATTGGGGTCCCTGTGTTGTGGTCAAAAGCCAACGGTCGCAAGGAGGAATAATTGCGTCCTGTTCGCGCACTTCCAACTTCTGACATGAATAAATAACACTTGAGTGTGTGGGTGTGTTATATAAAGCGAAATAGTCAACATTTTCATTAGTGTAGACCCAAAACAAATATGTGGAAGTGGAATTTCCATTTGGCTGATTCAAACTTGATTAGTATTCCTTGGGGTAAAATTCTAAAACAATTTCGATGGCATAGTTTTCTTTGCAAAATATACTCCATGCTTTTCTAGACGAATTGTAACACAGTACATTTCTATTTATTTAATGGCCCTTTTTAAATAGACTTACCATATGTATCAAGGTCTTTTATTATCTCATACTACGTTTGCTTGGCTAACAAGTTTCTCTGGGGAAAATGTATTCTTACACATGAAAATTTCGAGGTCTTCTAAGTAGCATGTCTTGGAAAACAAATTCTAAGCATACTTTAAGGATTCTCCATGAAACAGCCTATACTTCCTCCTGCAGCGGAAATTGTTAGCCAGAAAATTTCCATTTGTTTTTTTTGGGCTGATGGGTCAAGGCTTTCAACTCCATCTATTTTGGGTCCAACACCTTGAGGAATTCATTCACTCCTTTCGAGCAGTGACATGTAAATTAGTTGGCCGCGGTGAATCATTAAATTTCCATTCCACTGCCCAGCCCCACACACACACACACACACACACGATTGAGTGAGTGGCAATAAAAAGTGCTCGAAAGTGCCACGGAAATGGCGCATTAGTGTTTGCCACTTAATGTGGCAATCAGCCCGCACCCGCGGATCCCCTGGCAGTGTAACTTGTTGAGCTGACACCCTTAACGGCACGCAATATGCAAATTTTGGCCACAAAGAACAGCTCAGCGCTTTTCCTTGGCGTGTTGTCACCACAATTTCCCTCAATTAGGATGAATGAATATGAATATGTACGATATTCACGGCAAACTCACCTTTGGGCGGCGATGAATGGTAGTAGAGTCCCTGGAATCTTCTTCGTCGCTTGGGAGGCATGCTTGTCTTGGTTATCCGTCCTTAAGAATTTCCCTTTTTGGTGTAGTCTAGTGAGTTACTAGAGTCCGCGACTCTGCACATCACCACGGTCGCGATTCATGGATTATATTGGTTCACTTGTCACTGGAAAGGGACCCCTTGAAAATTTCGAAATCCCAGCACTGGATGAACCGTTGTCCTGGCAAGTTCAACGACGTCTGAATTGACAATTGCACCTGCTCAGCTGCTCAACTGCTCAACTGCTCAACTGGACAACTAGAAAACTGGTCAGGTCCTTGCGTGTGTGCATACTCAATGGAAAATGCGGGAAAATGTGGGAAAATGTGGGAAAATGTGGGAAATATGGGGCTTGGGGGCGTACTGAGAGTCACAACCTGTGTTCGCCGCTAAACCTCACACATGTGATTTTAATGCTTTATTTATTTATTTCACAATTTGCCAGGGCCTCAAATGCGCTCCGCTTGTTTTGCACTGTGACAGGACATTGCCTGCTGCAGGACTTGCGCCCGAAAATAAAAAAAAGAAACACGTTGATAACCAACCAATTAGCTGTGAATCGATTTTTCGAATTCGAATGGGCATATAATCGGAATGGGCACACAATAGCTGACCAGGTCAGAGTGTCCTGCCCCAAAGGTCCTTGAGAAAAAGACAGCACGTGCTCCTCAAATCCAATTGATGAGTAATTCCACAACAATATATAGTACGCACTTGCGTGTGGTCAAAATTTAAAGACCAACTTGACACAGTTTCCCCAAGGAGCTGCGTGAGTAGCTTCCAAGGTTTTTCGTCACTCCTGCCCCCGAAAAAAACCGAAAAGAGCTGACCCAAATTTTAATAGTTCCCCGAGGGGCTATGAAAATGTCACTGCCAATTAGTCCGAGGTTACAACTAATTGTCTAGCTCCGCTTATCTTCAATTAAATAGTTTTGATTACGCTTCACAAGAGTTTATAAACGATCTATGCATTATTCACAAGGTAAGTACTCAAATTGTTTGCATAAACTGCAAACTGGATGGGTGCATTGAACTTGACAGGATGTGACCTTAAAGGATATACACTGACCCTTCTGCTGACCACAGAACAAGTCAACGTAACAACACTAGTCACAAGTCACATATCACAAATCACAAATCACGGTGTTGCACACACTTCACTTTTCCGACTAATTTTCCGTCGCTTTCCGCTTTTCCTTATTTCCTTTTCCCTTTTTTCGGGCCTATATTTTCGTTTCTATTCGATTCGATTTGCACGGCGCGCGCTTTCCCTGCAGACTGCGGCATATTCAGCGTTTCGTAGGTGTTTTATCTAATTTTTCCTTCACGCACACTAGTGGCAGTCATTGTGTTTGTGTGCGAATGTTTGGGCTGATTGCTGTTACCCTTTTTGGTATTGAGTATTGGTAATTGCTGCCATCGTTTGCATGCGAACGCCAAAAAAGAACCAACACAAATATTGCCGAAGCCAAGTCGCTGGTGGGAGGTGAGTAGTTGAAGTGTAGCCAATATTGAAAACTGAAGGCGTGTCCCCACACAAACGAATTTTCAATTTCACTATCATTATCTGTCAATATTTTTTGCATTGCAATTAAATGACCCCATTGTGGTAAAAAAAAATCTTCAACTACCTTATGTTTGTATAAGTGTACTCTTTATAAAAATTCTTAAACTAAACTAGCTAAACGACTTTTCAATTTCACTATTATGATCTGGCAAAACATTTTTTATGGTTTATTGAAGTGCATACACTATTATGATTTGTAAATATTTTTTGCATTGCAATTCAATAACTTATTTGTGCCCCCGAAAAAAGGCCTATCACAATGTTCATAGATTTCTGAGTTTTATATTAAAAGTATTATATATAATATATATTTATTTGGATTGCTCAACTTGGCCTAATTTTAGGAAAACATGACCTAAAACAAGACCCAAGGCCATTATGGCCTTAAACTTAGTTTTAGGTCATATATTCCCAAACGTTGTATGAAAAGCACAAATTTAAGGCAATTAAATTATGCCGTTTTCCTTAATTCAAGGAAGTGTATAGTAATAATGTAATACTGTAGCCAGCTAAAAAAGATAAAACAATGAATTATTTTGTATCATTTATTATTTCATATATATTTCTTGGGCAGCCTTTAACTTAAGCTAGAACTTAGAACTTAATCGACTAAGGGAATTGTGGCCAGGAAGCTATTGGGCTATCGGCTGTTGCTACTCAGTTCGTCTGCGGAGACGTGAATGGGTTGGGTGAATTCGATGTGTTCGGCGGAGACATCTGTGGAGTGTTCAAAAGTTAGAATTGCAAATAAGTAAACCAGACCATATTTATTCACCTGAAAGTGATTGTTTAAGGTTCACAGTGCCAGTTATCTCCGTTATGTTTGATAAATCATTAAAAGGTAGACTTCTTTTCCGACGCGTCCGTAGTTGACCCAAACTGATGTGGGTCTTCTCCAGCGGCAGATCATCATCGCCGAATTCCATGCACCTGCCGTATACGCAATATCGTTTGCCCACCGGTGAGCAGCGAGTGCCCGGCGGAAAGTGTCCGTTCCTGCCGTTTACCAGGTAATACCGGTACTTGATGAACTCGTCCTGGCAGCCAACGCGGCAGCTGCGGTCCGGTTCATCGATGCTGGCCGAGATCTGGGCCCCATGGCCGGATAGTCCGCGCACCTTCTGCCGGTATCGGGCGCAGGTCTGCTCCGCAAACTCAGCCGCCGTCTGCAAACGCTCGCAGGGCTGGATACGGTACGAGCAGAGCTGGATGCTCTCCACTCCGGTCAGCCGCGAGGTGACCCCCTGGACGCCCTTCGAATCGGTCATGCAATTGGAGTGGCAGCCCGGATGCACCACCCACTCCGATTCCGAGGACGAGCTGCGATCGAGGGCGATCAGCGAGGCGGAGGCAGGTGGCGGTGGTCGCGAAATCTCCGGCGAGTACGGTTTGTGGTAGGTCCGCCTCTTATACGGCGATGGTGCCGCACTGATGTGGTTACCTTGGCCATAAGGCGTCCGCTTTGCCACCTCTGTGGGGAAAAGCAAATAATGTATTTCTATTAGCTTAGCTATGGTTAAAACAGCTAAGTTGACTTTGGTTATATAACCTTCCGGCTATTATTAAATTTAAATATTCTATTAGGCGACTAAATTTCGAGTTTTATGCATATTTGCTTAAAAACAAAGAAGCTACAAATGTTAAGTTTCCTCTGAATATTTCACTGTAACTTAGATTTTATACTCGTAGAGTAAATGAATATTTTGCAATTGTTGTAAAGTATGGAAGAAGTATAAGAAAGCATTTTCGACCCTATAAAGTATATATATTCTGTATCAGGATTAATAGCCGAGTCAATCCGTCCGTATGAACTTCGAGATCTCAGAAACTATAAAAGATAGGGCTTTGGGATTTGAAATGCAAATTCTAGTAATTCTTAAGCAGCGCAAGTTTATTTAAAAAAGCAGCCACGCCCCCTCTAACGCCCACAAATCGCAAAAGTCTGTCACGTCACTCTGAGACATGTAGCTATTGGACTCTGTGTGTGTGTATCGGTCATATCTATCGCGAGACCCAAACATTTTAAAAATCGAATTATTATTATTATAGAGTTCTTAGGTCCTCTGCCGCCGCTCTGCCTCTGCTTGTGCGCTGCTCGGCCGCTGCTCGGCCACTGCTTTAGCGCTTTAAATCCGAGATAATATTGGCGTAGAGACGAACAGACGGATAGACGTGCATGGCTATGTTTATACATACTTCATAGGTTCAGTAATAACACCCACTAATACAGGGTATAAAAATAAAGAGGTTCTAACCATTTTCATAGTGATTTTTATGCGCTATGCCCTCTTGCCGCTCCGCATACCGCTGGCTGGTGGACTGCGGCCTGCTCTCCTGATCCGAGGAATCCCTCGTGGGGCGCACTGATCTCGCCTGGCAGAAGCTACTGTCCATCTTGAAGAAGTTGCCGGTGGAATTGTCGCAGGAGAAGCGCTCACATCGCCCGGAAATGCAGTAGGTAATGTCCTCGGGGTTGTGCTGCTTCGATTGGCAGGTGGTGCCGTCCGGAAAAGTCCATCGCCTGGACTTGGTGCCGTTGTTCTTGGTGCGGCAGAAGATCTTGCAGGACCCATCTAGCGTGGTGCTCAACTGCTGACCCTCGCCGGTGAGATCCGGATCCGATTTCCTCGCCTGCATGCACACCTGGCTGGCAAAGTCACCAATCGTCTGCACCGGCACCTTGTGGCACTGCGGCGTGTTGCAGGTCACGAATCGCCGATCTCTGCCCATGCAACGCGACGGGAAGTTCAAGCAGCTCCTGTTGAAGGTGCGCAGTCCTGTGCTGCCCTCCAGAAGGCGTCGCGACTGTCCATATAGACAGCCTGACTCACAGGCACTCGGCTCGCTCCATTCGCCCCAATTCGAGGACGATCCAGGCAGCTCATTCCCCAACGGATTGTAATCGTGCAGCAAAGGGGGTATCCTGTTGGGCTCATGTCTGATAATCTTTTCGTGGGTGGCTTCGGGTACGTTCTCAGGTGGCCAGGACTTAAGGGCTGAGTAACTGCCCTGCCTGGAGGATCGCGCCTCACATGAGCCACCACGGCACCACTAAAAGAAGAAAGCAATATGATATTTTAGAAGAGAGTTTTGTGGGATCTAGTGCACTTTTAATAATTCGTGGGGAGAACCTTTAACTTTTAATACTTGTCTTAAGGATAAGGTATACCATACCATATTAGCGCCACACTCGGTGCCTTCCAGAGCCGGATGCGATGTCCAGGGCAGTCCATCCTGACGACAGTGAAGATCCCGACAGATTTCCATCTTGCTTTGCGTGCTGGCCTGCATGAAGTTCTTGCCGAAGCGCAGCATGCACTGCTGGTTGGCATTGAAGCGTTCACCGGGCAGACGGCCACCATCAGTGTGATCCCAGGGACCAGCATACTGGTCACGATCAAAGAGGCACTCCGCCTGGGGATCCCTAAAATAATAATAATTTAAAGCCAATCAATACTCATTACAACACTGATTTGTAATCCTTTTGAAGATGTTAAAAATAAATGCTTGTGTTTGTTACTTTATTATGTGACAAATTGTTGATAAAGTTGAATGTTATTGGTTGACCATTTTAATAGGACAGAGTACCTTAATTATTTTGTGGTTAAGTTCGGCGAGCTGCTTTGGCTCCAATATATTTTACATGGCTCAAGATATAAAATTTTTATTTCTTCAAAACCACAATCAAAATCGTTCCTATGGCAGCTAAAATCTATCTTTTATACTACCCGAAAAATAGGCATAGAATATGATCAGTATGGCAGATAAAAGGCACCTTTAGCATATAGTCAGCCAAATTTGATAATATATCTAAGGATGGGTTTTAAAAACACTATAAAAACACCATGTAGGGTAAAAACCAGCGATTTATACTCTAACTAAATAAAAAAATCAAAAAATTCAATATTTTGACCCGAGTGGTTATGGCAGCTATAGGATATTGACATCTGATCTGACATTTTTAAGTCTCTGCCTTTTAAACTGAGCTCGCACACGGTATAGAAACATACGGACTTCTGACCAATTTTAGATATTTTTATGGGTATAAAAAGCCAAGGTACACTGTTATAATAATATATTTATATACATATATTCCAAATGGCTACTTCAATGACTTACATCAAGAAATCCTCAAGATAGGTGCGCGAACACTTGGACCACGTGACCTTGCCACTGCCCAATTTGGGGGACATGATGTGCATGGTGGGATCGCAGCTAATCTCCTTGGCATCGTGCCGCATTCCCAAGCTGGAAGAGAACCAAGAAAATGAGGTCAAATGGCATTTCGCCATAACAAGGAGCCACCTACTTGTGTCCGATTTCGTGGGCCACAACAAAGACGCTCTCGAAGTGCTTGGCCTCGTTGATCGTGCAGGAGTATATGGAGGTGCACATGCCCTTGACCGTGGCCATGCCCACCACCTGGCTGTTGGCCTTGCCCTTCTCGTAGGTGACGAGGTCGAGACCCGTCAGGACCAAGGCATGGTCGTAGTGCAGCGGATCAGCATCGGAGAAGGGATTGAGCTTCTCCTGCCACTTGCAGAAGCTGTTCAGGTAGTTCTCCACATCCCTGGAGCGAGTCAGGCCCGGCGGATCCCAGGACCTCCAGATCTCCAGGCGCTTTAGCACAAAGTTGATCCGACGCCCCAGCGTGGGATGGTGGTACAGCAACTGGACGCCATTGATCATGGCCAGCAGAAAGCTGACCACCTTGCTCTCCGTGTTCGTTGGGAAGTTGCGCTGCATGTGGGCATACAGGTCGCTGTCCACGAAGATGGCCGTCTCGATGAAGAGCTCCTCCGGGATGTCCGACCAGCGGGAGCGCGGTGGGTCTCCAATGTAGCGACGCCTTCGGCGATGCCTCAGCTGACTGTGCTGTTGATGGTGATGGTGATGTTGATGATGATGATGGCGTGGCTGGAAGCGCAGTTTCAGGGGCGGCTGAGCCTGCAATCGCCTCCTCGGTTCGTTGAACTCCTCCGCATCGGGCTCGAACTGCAGCTGGCTGTCTAACGGTGGCGTCTCGGTTCGCCTCGACGACGCCCCACTGTAGCCGCTCTTGTCCACTCTCGCTTGGTAGAGCACATGCGTCCCGGTGCCGAAGCGCTGCGGCAGCGGATGGATCACCAGGTCACTGCCATTCTGCTGGAACACGCCGCGCTGCGGGGATCGAGGCGTGAAAAACTAATAAGCGACGGGGTTAAACAAACAGCGAGTTCCGCAAAGGAAAACACAAACCACAATTTCGTGCGGATTGTGTTAAAAAGTGATCAAAATATAATTACACAAATTTCTTGTAACTGTTTTGCTTCAGTATTGAAAGCTTGGTGTTCACTTTCTTAACTAAATTTATTTTTCAAATTATGGAAAATCAAACTCTTTTTTTACCCTTTTAATATTCGCAATTTAAACAATAAAAGTCTGTTATGCTGAAATCGCAATATTCTTATTTCGTAGCTTTAAATTATAAATAAAATAACTTCCTTACAAGTACAATAACTTCGAATCCATTTTTAACCAATATTTCTTATTAAGAATTTAAAACCAGCATTTTTTAGTTCACAGATGTAGGTATTTTACCAAGAAAATAGCTTCATTATAAAAAAAAATATTACTTTGCTTTATAGGTAAAGTATTTAAATAAAATTTTAATGCACTTACTTCTATGTACCGACTCATATAACTTCCTAAGTTATACAGTTTTAGAACGACAGCACGACAAAAATTTATAAATTTTTTACTTTACCTAAAACCGTAATTCTCAAAAACTAAAGCAAAACCGCGTGAAATCGACGGGTGATTTGGGTAGTTAATTGTTCAAAGAAGGAATCCTTTTTAAGGAATCCTTTTAAAGGAATCACTTCCTTCCACAAAAGTACCACAAAATAATTGTAAAGCTAAGTATCAATATGCTTAAAAATTATATATTCCTTTAAGTTTTTGTCGATTTTTATGAAATAAGTAAGAAATTAAACTAAATTAAATGTCTTAATTGTTATGTTATTCAATTTCGAAAGCCTCACAAGCATTTCGATCAGCTAAGTCTTCGTCTCTTTTTACAAATTTATTACTTTTATTCAATATTCTATGAAATTATAATTTGAAATGTTGGCATATTTTAGTATAATATATATTAGAAACGGAGCCATACCCTTTTTCTTATTTTTTTTCTACCGAAAAACCGGACTTTGGGATAAAACTTGGGTCCGCTGGCTCATTGTGGTCTGGTCAAATTAAGAGTGACCTTGGTTTAAAGCCTTTACTTAAATTGAAAATGTTTTTTGGTTTAACCTTTAAAGTTATCAAATCAACATTAAATTTGTTTAAATATTTATCCTATCTGAAAAAAAAAAAATTGTTTCTGGGTGCACCTACCACGTTGCCGGGCTCGCAGAGATCGAGAGCAGCCGCTGGACTCCGGTAGAAGCATCGCTCCAGTCGCTTGAGGAGCTGCGGCGAGTGCTCCACAAACTGCGTTCCATTTTCGGTGCGTCGGATGAAGATGAAGGCGTCATCGATGAGCTGTGGCGACTGCTGCAACTGCAGCCTAGCTTCTACAGCCTCCTCACCATCATCCCCACCCCCACCCCCATCCCCCATCGACGGAGGCAGCTCCTCCTTCCGCCCTCCGGCATCATGGTGGTCGTCATCTGCCGAATGCATTTGAATTATTTAAACTGTTCGCATAATGACCGCAACTGGAGCAGCACGAACTGCTCTCTGGATTTCGATTTGGATTCGGTATGGGGACTTGGGCTATTTCATTCACCTTGTGTTGGCAGGCTGCGGCGCAGACGTTGCTTTCGGGGATTCCCCTCCTCCGTCACCTGTGCGCCATCCTCACCTGGGAAGGTTCCCTCCTGCCGTTCCTCTTGCCGTTGTGCCAAGTGCACGAGTTTGAATTCGGGCGCTGCCAGGTAAACAAACAACATAAATGCCTGCCATGAATCAATGCCAACAACTGAGCCGATTTCAACGCCCCCTGAAAAAAGCCCCCCATTTTTCGTAAACTCCTCTGCCTTACCTTTAAGTAAGCAGTTCAAGTTTATCGTTCATTGATTACTGATGTTGTTGATGTTTGGACTGCCGGCTTAATGACATGTTTTAAGTTGGTTATGGGTCATGGCTAAAAGACTTGAGCCACTCAGAGAATTTATTGGCCAAGCTTATTATTTTAAGTGGATTTTTTAATTTGGAATATTCTAAGCACTTGAATGGTAAAGTTACTAAGTTCAAAAGCCATACTTTAGCCACCAAATTTGTTGGCTAAAATCAAAAAGCAATAAGCTCAACAATTTGTTTTAAATAAATTTAGCAACTAAAAATCAAACAGCATTTATTTTAGCTAAGAACAAAGAAAAATATCAAAAAGTACGTTCCAAATGAAGTGTATACTTTTAATGCGAGTTGTGGGGTGCAGTTTTGAGACCCACCAAAGGAACGTTTACCGTCCATTAAAATAAATACCAGTATTACATTTTTCTGTGCATTGGCACTCGTACTACTAACTTACATAGTATTTGGGTCAGAGTTAAAAATCTTTTCGACCCAATGCCTGGGGCCAACACTTACCCTCTTCCGGAGATCGTGAGCCAAAGATCAGGGCCCGCTCATGTTCCCTCAGATGGCCCACCAGAGTGTTCTCGTCCAGCTGCAGTGGCATGAAAAAACAAAAAAAAAAAAAAGAGAAAGAGCAATGAATGATGTTTAATATGCAAAGCGGAAAGTGTAACATCGCCGGCAAAGCGTTAAACAGACCAAAACAGATGCGAGCACCCGCGGAGAAGGGTTTTCTCAAGTCACCCCAAATAAAAAAATACTTTCACTCAGACAATGGAAAATTTGTTGATACCCCAAAAAGAAAACCCCAATTAGACAATCCAAATCCAACAGCTGTGCTGGGGTGACCAGATCATCGGGTGGAAAGGTTAGTGCAACAGTTAAAATTTGTTTACTTATACGAGTTGGCTCGTTATACATTTGCCATATATCTGGTCCGATTTGGTGGTGCGTGCGCCTATTTGCACGATTATTTAATTTAATTTGTTGTAACAGTTTTCATTCGGCTTTACTTGGCTTTTGTGAAAAAGCGCGTTGCCGCCGGCGAAGCGTGAAGAGCGTTTCGGCGTTTCGGCGTTTCGGCTCTTCGGATCGAAACTCCGCCTCCCAACGCGAGGAGAAGGTGTTACAAATTGCCGTTGTGGCGAATTTTTATTATCAACATTGTAATGCTGTGAGAAGGGGGCGTGGCTGGTCGCCGGCCGCCCCAGAACATCAGATAAAAGTGGTAAAGAATTTAACGGGGGCCACATTTCTGAGTTTAATTGAATGTATAATAAACTTTGGCGTTTATATATTTTATTATTGAGATTACATTTTAGTAGTATAAAAATATATTTTATTTCGAAAAAAGCTTTTAAATAACCTACATGTTTTACTAATATAAAAATGTATTGTTTGATAAAAAATAAAATATACCAAATACAAATATTTGCAAATTGAACTTTATCGTATGTCAACTTTACTACATATATGGACACAATCTGTTTCAAAAGCTAAAACCTTTTCCCATCTCCGGTCTTACCACACTTTCTGAAAATCTTTCCGCTGAACTTTACCAAAGGCAAACAATGTTCAATGAAATGGACACTAATTGGCTGCAAGGGCAACAGCATAATAAGACCAAATCAACATGAAAGAGTCGGCGATGGCCGGAAAAGCCCCAAACAAACAGCAACAATAACCGATGACAAAACCGAAAGAGAGGAGGGAAAAGCGGAAAATGCAGGTACATATGCTCACTGTAATCGCCGCCAAACTGATTATGTGATGAAATTTTGCGTGACCCGTGGGCAAAATAGGCAAAAAAAAAAAATAAAACGAGAAGAGCAGAAAATAAGAGTACGAGAAAAATAAGGGTAAAATGGCGAAAAGTAGAAACCAACACGTGGAAATTATATCACAGAAAATTGTCTGCAGGCCAATTTCAGGGGCCAAAGGAGTGCGAATGGAAAAATACAAATAAAGCGGGGGAAAATCACGTAATCAACGGCGTAGCCAAGCGAATGATTCTAAAGTCTGACTTCAGAGGGTCAATAACTTGGCTTAAACAAAAAAAAACAAAAAACAGGCGAAGGGAACCGCCTGTCACTCCAATTCCTTCAAAGTCTGGGAAATGGCTGAGAATTTTTTTTTTTGTGATTTCGAGACAGCTGCAAATGCCAGCTGCTTGCAAGATTGTTTGCAATTCCCTGTAATCGTGTGATGAGTTCAGCTCCTAAAAAGCTGGAAGAGACCCTGAGACGCCAGCCAGAGCTTGAATTAAAGGCACACCGAATGTGGGAAAAGTGGGGGAAACGAGGGAAACGAGGGAAACCGGGACACCACACGAGTCATGTGTAATTCGACAATTGACAAGTTGTCGCCTTGCTCGCCAGAACTTATGTTCATTGGGTTAAAGCTCTCAAATTACCAAAACACTTTTCAACGACCATTTTTGCAGAGGTCATTCAACGACCCGTCTTTGTGACTGTACTCTTCCATGCTCCGCATATTCCCCCTTGAACTGCCCGACAATTTTTGCTTAGCTTTTCAAAGTCGAGTTGAGTCAGAAAATATGTTTTTGGTTTTTTTTTTCGTGTCCATGTTCTGTCTATATGGCGATTTTGTATGCTTTTTATTGGTCACTTGACGCATACGTAGATGGATGATCACCTGTTTTTGTAAATGGGTTAATCGTATGACATTCAAGCACGCTTACACTTGAAATATATGATTTTCCTATGACTATTTTGCGTTCAATTTAATAATAAAAGTTGGAAATGTGAATTCTTGCAATTAAAGTTTAATATTACAAGTTTAATGGAATTTCCTATTTCAAAATATTAGTATGTAATATTAAACTTTGTTATTTATTATCATTCATGTTAACATTGTGTAAGTCTTATCAGGGAAATTATTATTGTTATAGTTTTTTTTGATGATCCATGCCTATGCTAGTCCGCTATATTTATTTATTTTTAAAATTTTTTCTTAGCTTTACAGGAATTCTGCGCAATTTTTATATTTAGATTAAAAATCTAGAATTCAAAGTTTTTAGAAAATATACAAAAATTTTCTATATGCTTTTTTTACTTAATGATTTCCAATCTTATTTTCTGCGTGATTGTACAGAGATATATCACAAATCACATATCAACAATGACGACATGAACACTTTTTGATTGATATCCTGACTCACCTCAAGCGTAACCATTGAATAATAATGTTTAATTTATAATGACAAAAGCTCTACCTCCCAGTATTCTTTAATTGCTGAAGACATGTTTCCTTAATGAGTTTTAAAATATAAAGAAATTCAGTGTCGTGATTTTGCAGCTCGAAGCTGGGAAAACTGAGCTATATCACTCATCGCGCGACAATGCGCATGCATTGATTTGTTATCGGGACTCACCTGAATGCCATTATAGTGCAAGCTCCTCTTGCGCCGCAACTCAATGCTGACGGATTTTGGAACGGAGGCGGAGGAGGAGGAGGAGGCGGTGGCGGTGGCGTCGATTAGCAGCCACAAGGTGGTCAAAACAATTAAAGCCAAACGACGTTGCCGATTAGATCCAATTGCTGAGACAGTCATAACGATGCGTTGATGATGACGGCCGAGGCGCAGTTTTTCTGGGACTTTTTGGCTCGCTATTGTAATGCTTCGAGTACACTAATCGCTCTTTGTTGCTGCAACAACCATGCGACGAATGTTGCATAAATTGCAAATATATTATTCCTCTGGCTGCGGGCCGAATTCGGTATTTTGCGTCATAATTTGTGGCTCGAAGTTACATTTTCAAGCTGCGAACATCGAGGGTGGAAAACTTAGAGCCCGATTTCCCGAGAGAAAAGTGAAGGCACGAGCGTGTGTGCGGCTCCAACTTTTACGGCGGTAAATTTAACTGTTTATGCACTAATTAATTGCCCAGCCATTGCATTACGAGTCATTTGTTGTGGGCCACTTTTCGCACTCTATCTTGTTTGCTTTTCTTTTTCTATTAAGCTCTGCGCTGCAGTTTGTTGCCTAAGTTCTTCCTTGTTGATCGGCACTCCACTCGAGATAAGGCGAAATGGTGCTTGAAAACTATTTTATTGGCCAGGCAATAATGACAATATATATAATGCCAGTCTTTTGTTTTCACATTTAAACGCACTTGTTTTTATTTAAACGCCATCGCACAATTAAGCAGCCAGCAACAAACACACACGGCACCCATATAGATCATCGTCTCTGGAGCATAACGATCTTCTGGTTTGTGTCCATAGCCGAAATGAAATTTTATTTTTCAACTCGCATCAGAGTCATGCAAATCGGTAAATCACTTCGAAATATGAGCGTTTTGGGGTATTTAAAATATAAAGTGGAGGTCAATGCGCGTCGGTTCGATCGAAGGACTTTTCTGGGGCGAAAGAGACGGCTGCAGAGACGCGGAAAGAGACGGAGATAGCGAGGCGAGGCAACCACTCGCGACGGCGGCACATTTGCGAATGAAATGTGAAAATCACGGAAAACTTGAGCACACGATCGGCGGTTGGCGCTCCGATCTCGTTCGGCTTCTCGTTTTTGGCTGGAGTGGAGTTCGCAAAGCAGACCTAGCACAAACGAACTCATAAATATATGCTAATGAGCCAGAGCGCCGGAAGAAGAGAAGAAGAATGCTCCAACCGTTAAGACAGAGCAAAGGGCCAAACAAAAACAACAAAAGAGTTTTACGAAAAAAAAAAAACAGAAGCAAAAATGTGAGGCGATTGTTTTGTGGTCAAGTGCTTGAAAATGATGGAGCAGACGAAAACTTGACACTGATCATCAGCAAAAAAGGCTGAGGAGAAGCAAGAATTATGCTGCATTTCCGCCGTGCAGTTTCGATGTTCTGCGGCCTGTGGCAGCAGGAAATCTTAAATCAGCGAATGCAAATCAGGGAGGCGCAAAAACAAACCGAACACAGCCAATTGAAGTGATCAACTTTTAATTGATGCAATCAATGGCTGTTGCAAACGGTCAAAGTGAAGAGTGTCAGTCAAAGCAATGGCTTAATTTAAAAAAAGAACACACATTAGATATATTTATTTAAATCGTACTTTAAAAACAAAATGGTTGGCAAAAAAAAAAACTTTAAATAAATAAAACTTTTTGCTTTCCACAGTTAGGCGCAATCTAAATTTGTATTTGAATATGATGGTCAGCATTGTTTTTCGCTTATGTTATCGATAATTATCGATAATGCGTTATGGTTTATGCATAGTATTTAGTATTTTACAGTAGTGTGGACACACAACAGGTAACGATATTTTACATTCAAATACTTTACACAAGTTCTTACACCTTGAGAGATTTTTAAAATTATTTCGTAAATATATAAATATTACAACTGAATATAAGCTTTGTTAGTATTGTTTAGATTTGAAATGCAAAATATTACCATTTGCGCTCATATTTATTTATCATTCATAGTAATAAGGTAATAAAAAAAACATTTATTAAACAAACTAATGCTGACGTTTGTCATCGTTAATTTAGTAATATCAGCAATTGTAAGAAACCAGACCAGCCTATCTATTTTAACAAAACCAATTTTCACTATTTTCTATATTATCCCCTTAAAGTGAACATCAGTTTTATGAGCAAGTGTTATAATAATTACTTAAAATCTACTTTGAAAAAAATTTGAACTTTAAAACACAAGCAGGGACAAATAAATGTTTCAATTTATTTAAACTATTCAATTGACACTCTAGATTATTTTTATAAATTTTTTGTATTATACTACAAAACCTTAAGGTAACAGAATATTCGAGTACCAATGAGAATGTAAGCAAGCCCGCCATAAAACGCGAGGACAGAGGACCAAGAATACAATTTCGGTTTTTCATATTAACGATTTATTCGAATAAGGTAAATACCAAGAGCACCATTATCACTCTCAAAATATTCCACGTAACTTGAATTAAATTTTTTTAATATGAATAGCCGCTAACGAGAAAACGCAAAAAAATAGAATATACTTACAGGGCTTTACATACTGTAAAATATAAATGCTAGCAGTATATACCAGACTGAGCATAATTTTGTTGGTATACCACCCGCTGGCCCACTGTTTTTTTTAAAGTATTGCGCAACGGGCACACTAGGCTAATCTAGCTTCACATTTTAAATTCAAACTGCAGCTTGGCTTCTTCGATCGCAAAACTCGTTCAGGTTTTCGGAGAATTGACTCAAATCTCAGCAACACTCGATTTAAAAATTGTAAATTACTACAATTCGGACAACAAATTATATATCCAAATTAAAAACAGCGTTCATTTCTTAAGAAACGCGATCAAAGAACAAAAAAGAGATAGAATAGTCAAGCGTCTGCTCTTTGTGTAATACTCGTGTCTTTACAAATAAAAAGAATTAATCAAAATGGTGGGCACAACACTTAAAATGCGTGGCGACGAGGTGAGTTTTTCCTGAAATTATAAGTTTAACCAAATTGGTTATAATGATCGTAAAAGAGTTCTAAAAGTAGCGGGTTCATCGAGACGCCATTGCAGCGTGGGCACGAATAGAGAGACAAAAAGGAAAGGGAGAAAGAGAGTGTCTAGAGAGGGGGTGAAAAAGTGCCGTTTGTCCTAGACCAGTATTGTTGTTCTTGTAATTCCTTCAGTCACATTATGGCGCAATTTTCTAGTCTCGGTACTTGTACCGCTAATTATTACGCTCTACTTCTTGTTTTTGCATAAATCAAAAAAGAGATTAATCTTGCGGTATTTTTTTCATAAAATGGCCGTCGCTATAAAGTGCATTAGATGCTGGTGAAGACGTATTTCAATACCGATTTATTGTGGATATGTAATAATATTACTGTTTCCATAAAATTAAATAAAAGTACAAATCATTAAATATGAAAAAAAAAAACCGTTTTGGAAAAGATGTAATAATATGCTGGTCATCTCCAAATTAAAAAAGCAAAGAAAAGTTATTTCACAAATGTGTTTTCCCAAACTTTGATTTTAAAAATCTACTTAATGCTATCATTTGCGGACGATTTTAATACTTCCTTTATTATTCTAATCACCTAATGTTATTTTCAGAACGCTTCGGAGAATTTCAAACAAGTGCAACTGAAGAAATTGACAGTGCCTTCACAGGAGGCTACAACAAAACGCGCTGCTTTGGGTGATTTGCAAAATCGCGGCCTAAATCGGCCTATTGCTGCGAAAGACGCGGCGCAGAAAGAGTAAGGAACAAGCGCATTTCTAAGCCCTACGTTCTCCATCATATTTGCCTTACTTTTGCTAGCCCCAAGGATCTGAAGCTCACAGAAGCCCTTCGCAATGCCAAGGCTCGAGTGGATACCCACTGGAAAAAGGCCCAGGAAAACACCAATAATGGCAATACCGCCGCTCCTCCCAAAGAAGGGGGCGTTTCGGCATTTTTGCGCGCAAATTCGGTGCGCAATCGCGTTCCGACCAAGACGACTGTGGAATCCACTAAGCGTAAGTAAAACAAACTAGTTCACACAATACAAAAATGTTGGAAAAAATTTTGATTATTTTCCGTTAAAAGAAAACTATTTGGGTTTATTTTTAACATTAATAATTATAAATATATTTAATCACTTACCAAAAATTTATGCAAATTAATATGGATTAAATTAACGACGAATTCGTTAAAATCTACTTTAAAAAAAAACAGATTTATATATTAACGGTGCTATTACTATTTAAACAAAAGCATGCAAAAATAAATGCTTAAATTTACTTAATCTATCCAATTGACACTTTAGATTATTTTTATTAATTATTTATATTATTCTTCAAATCCTTAAAGTAACGGCAAAGTCGAGTACCAACGAGAATGTAACCGAGCCCGCCTTAAAACGCGAGGACAGCAACCTGTCCAAGAAATCACTGACCAAGCTGAGAGCTGCATTAGCCAAACCCGCGATGGGGGTTTCCGGAATTCGTCGGGAACCGGTGGCTGTGGCTCGGAAAGAGCCGGAGACCAAGAAGGAAGTAGTGGAGAACAAGAAGGCAGTGTCGGAGGCCAAGAAAGAAGTGACCAGGATGCCTCTCATTAAGTCCAGCAGTGTCATCGCTGCAACCACCTCAACGATGCCAACCACCATGTCTCTTTCCAGCAAGCGATTGGCTGGAATCGAGGACATCGATGCCAATGACAAGGAGAACCTGGTGCTGGTCTCCGAATATGTGAACGACATCTATGACTATTTGTACCAGGTGGAACAGCAACAACCCATACACAAGGATCACCTGGCCGGGCAGAAGGAGGTGTCTCACAAGATGCGATCCGTGCTGATCGATTGGATCAACGAGGTCCACTTGCAGTTCCACCTGGCTCCAGAAACCTTCCAGCTAGCGGTGGCCATTATCGATCGTTATCTGCAAGTGGTTAAGGACACCAAGCGCACCTATTTGCAATTGGTCGGAGTGACTGCTCTCTTTATAGCTACCAAGTACGAGGAGCTGTTTCCGCCGGCCATCGGGGATTTTGTTTTCATCACGGACGATACGTACACAGCCCGGCAGATCCGACAAATGGAGCTGCAGATCTTTAAAGCCATCGACTGCAATCTGTCGCGTCCGCTGCCGATTCATTTCCTGCGGCGTTACTCGAAGGCTGCCGGCGCGGAGGATGAGCACCATGCCATGTCCAAATACTTAATAGAGCTAGCATCTGTGGATTACGAAATGGCTTCCTATAGGCCATCGGAGGTATGTCCTGATTTAAGACAGGTCGAGAATAAATAAACCGGTCATTATTAACAAAAAAATACAGTTGTCTATGCAACGTTTCAACCAGTATTATCTATTTTTTTAGATAAGTAAATTTACCAAATTCTTAAGTAACTAAACGAAAATGTACTTACAAATTGTACTCTTCCTTTGCAGATTGCAGCTGCTTCGCTGTTCCTGTCGCTGCACTTGCTCAATGGTAACTATCGGGCTGGGACAGGATTCAACGACCGCCACTGGACTCCCACTTTGACCTACTATTCGCGTTATACGGCTGCCCACTTGCGACCCATTACACGGCTAATTGCGAAACTGGCCCGGGATGCTCCCCAGGCCAAACTGAAGGCCATCTACAACAAGTACCAGGGCAGCAAGTTCCAGAAGATTGCCCTGCGAACGGAGCTAAGCGGTGCCCTGATTGACTCCATCGTGGGCCAGAGTCAATGGAAGTAGTTGGGCGGAAAGAAAGATCATCGATTACATAGTTTAGTTTAATTTGTTTTCATTTTTTAAATTTTTAGCGTATTCAATGTTCTGTTCGTTTTGTGTTCGTTACAAAATGCGTATAAACCCGTATATGTATGTATATCAATCCCGTCATCATTATCTTGATCATAATAAGCAATCCAGTCGTGCTGGAGTCCCCTAAGCGGTTTTCGCCCGCTTCCAAAAGCTGGCTCCGGCTGCTTTGCCCCTGAAGCAATAGTTTCCCGCGAGCTGGCCGCTGGGAGTGAGTTGACCGGATTAAACTGGAGCCCGCCTGCTCCTCCCACTGGGACATCTCCTCAGTGAGGAGTGAGCGGCGGAGCGGTGGACACCGAGAGAGAGTGGGCAACGAGTTCATTTGCTGGCCGAACACATCGGCGTTGTCTCTCCAAGAACTATATATTTAATCAGCACTATTTTAACTTGTATTTAATATTTAGCATCGATGGGAATTTGCTCGTCCTGTGTTTTACGACAAAAAAAAAATGTGCAAAAATATTTTCATATCTCCCAAAAATTATATGAGACTTAGACTATTTGTAATTTATATAATGTATTCCACACATTCATACAAAAATGCACCTTAAACTAGTTGTATTGTTTACTTTAATATAAACAAAGATAAGAAGGGTTTTATCCAATCTTGATGTTTCTGAAAGTGTCCCAACAAATATATAACAAATAAAGTTTTGAGTACTTTTATGCAAATGTGTTAAAAGGTTTTTTCGGGAATGGAATCGAATATATAACGAATTTCAAAATGGTGTTTAATTCGTCTTATACATTTAAAGAGTTCTTATGAGATTGCTGCCAAAATTTTGGGTAAATGGTGTTTTGCCATTGGCTAAATCCCAATGATATTTCTTTTGTTTTCAAAACAATTTATAGGTATTTGTTTAAGATAAAGTTTTGCTTATATTTGTTTTTGATTGTATTAATTTCAGAAATTTACTATATCATTTTGACAGCTGCTGAGTGTGAGAAATAATCCACACCCCGAAAAAAATCAGGGACCAGACCAGAAATTAATATAAAGACCTTTGCCAAGGACAAAGTTGTGTTCTTTTGTCCTGCATTCTTATCAATCCTGAATACACAAAAAACACGGCTATACCAGACACTCATACATACACATAACCAGCACCCTGAGGAAAGGTCACCTTCCCGATCGCAGGTCAGTTACTTCTCCTCCGAGTCTCTTCCTCCTGTTTGTCAGTTTCACGTTTCTCTTTTCGGTTCTGTGTTCCCTGTTCCATGGAACAGTAATTGCCGAGCACATTTCTCGCACATGGCTGTGTATGTGTGTGCCGCTGTATGACTTTCGTGTGTGTGGGTGTCTATCTCACTTTTCTCTTGTAAAGTGATTTTTCGATACAGTGAACTAAAAAGAACAAAGGCTTTTATACTTTAAAATTATTTACAGGTACACATTAAGCATGTCAACATTATTTTGTAATCAATTGATGTATTGACAACAATATATTTGCTATATATTTTTGCTTTATTTTAGATGGAATTTTGTATAATGTCTATACTTCTAGAAATCACAGTATGAAATTGTACAATATTTTTGTTTTGTAGCAAGAAGTCAATTATCTAATAATTAATTAAAAAGAATATATTTTCCTATTACTGTTAACTATGACTCCTTCAAGTTTATAACAAATGTAGATTTCATAGGGCAGAAAATTATGAAATGTTTAAAAATACATTGTCACCCAAAAATGCTTATAATTGTAGAGTTGTTCGTCTCTAGGCGTGCCCACTGTATTTGGCCTGCTGTGTTTGCTGTGCGCCTGTTCGAAATTTAAGTTTGACGGTTTTATGGCTCTCATTAATTTTTGTTTACGGTCAAACAAATGTTATAAAAAGAAAGTAATTTTTCTTGCCGCCCCCCTGCTCCACACTTTTGGCATATTTTATGTTGCCTGCCAGCGGCAATGGGCGTCATAAAAACTTCAGGCCGTATAAATCGGGTTTACTGTTTTTGGGTCTTTGGCCGCTGTTTTTTTTTTTGGGATTTCTTGCTTTCGTTTCTGGCTTGCTGTTAACGAAATATGCACAGCACGAACCACTCGCAATCACCGAGTCCTTTATTTCGTGGTGCTCCTTGGAGTGCAACTAGTCGCTCAGGTAGCTCGGTAAGGGTGGCTTATTCGCACAGGGATCAGGGGGTTACGCTTATGCAAAAGGACGAGGTGAGAGGACATCTGCCCGTCGGCTGGCGGATCAGCTGAGCGCAAGGACCAGAATTAGTTCTGGAAATCCCTGTCGGCAATGGGATTTTTTTTTTTAAACCAGGACTACCTAAGGTCTTAATTATTGATTACCACAACATTTGAAAAACGTGCCTTTGAAAATCTTGTATGGACCGCAGTGAAAATATTTAAAGTAAACTAAGATTGGTCTTGTTTATTTAATATCTATTATGTAAGGTGTTATAACAACACACGGGCGTATTAAGCTTAAATAGAGTCTATAATGTTTCGAAATTTTGGTAAACCTTAACATTGTAAAATAATTATTTAAACAAGAAGGAAAGCAAACTTCGGCAAGCCGATGCTAATAGACTCATTCGGCTATTAAAATATTCTATAAAGCAACCATTTTTTGATTTAAGCTCATTATATTATTATATTTTCCGTGTAATTCTTAACAAATTAAAATAATAAACAATCACTATATTTGGGAGAATTTTGTAACAGCAAAGTTCTAATTTTTTAAACCCGGTATATTGTTATTTTATTCGTTTGCTGCTCTTAGCTTCTATGGCTGTGCTTGTTGGGGAAATACTCAGGTTGACTGAGTAACGGGTATTTAATAGTCGGATATTTTTTTGGTTTTTAGTAAAACGGATTCGTATAAATATGTTTAAAGTGTACCTATTAATATAATCATTAGTGTATCTTATATAATTGTCCGATCCGGCTCATTCCGACTTATATACTTCCTGCAATAGAAAGTCTTTTGGAAAAGTTTCAGAATGGGTAGAAACCATAGCTGCTGGTTTCTGGAGGAAAGTGTGCCTAATATCAGTTCTTACAACATATTTAATTGATTTGGTTTATAACTAAGAAATAGGTGAATATATTGGATTCCCAGCTAAGAAAAAACATATAGCTCGTGTAGAGTATAATTTAGTATCGTTTTTAATTCATCATCGTTTCACAATCATCCTCAGACAGTATTTCGACTATTCTTGATTACAATATTTGAAATATTGATTACACTTTAAAGGTAGAAGAACAACGGGGGATTATCTATCGTTTAAGAGGCTGGAGGAACCGCACGGATATTTCGCTGAAATTCGAAACTGCATCTTGCAGGGAAGCGCTTTCCAGTCCGCCGCCTGCGCCTGCTCTCTCTCTCCCAAGATTTTGCGGCGTGATGGCACAGGACCACGGAATAGAAGCGATCCCTACGGGATACGTAGGAGAACATGAATGTGCAAAAGAGTTTTCTCTTGTTTTTTGTTGTATAATTTCTGTTTATCTTAAGCTTTAGGTTGTTATTTTTTCTTGTTGTTTGCGGCAGAGATGGCAGCATTATTCGAACCATCTACGATGTTAATTGCACGCAACTGCTTTACTTTTCTTCAGTTTTGATGCTTAACCCTGGAAGGTGGACAAGAACTTGGAAACAACGTCCTTCAGCTTGGCATCGGACGCCTCCGAGATACCGCCCTCCTTGGCGATGGTGTCGAGCAGAGCCTGCTCGGAGGTCTTGATGTGCTGCAAGAACTCCTTCTCGAACTTGGTGATCTTGGCGGGATCCATCTTGTCAAGATGACCGCGCACACCGCAGTAGATGACAGCGACCTGGGAAATTAGGTGAAGTATTAGAAGTTTCTCTCCAAACAGGGTTTTCGTAAATGTCCGATATCCCTTCGCATACGCACCTGATCCTCAATGGCCATGGGCACGTACTGACCCTGCTTGAGCAGCTCAGTAAGACGCACACCACGGTTCAGCAGCTGCTGGGTGGCGGCATCCAGATCGGAACCGAACTGGGCGAAGGCGGCGACCTCACGGTACTGGGCCAACTCCAGCTTCATCGAACCGGCCACCTGCTTCATGGCCTTGGTCTGGGCAGCGGAACCCACACGGGACACGGACAGACCGACGTTAATGGCAGGGCGAATACCCTTGTAGAACAACTCCGTCTCCAAGAAGATCTGGCCATCGGTAATCGAGATGACGTTGGTTGGAATGTAGGCGGACACATCTCCAGCCTGGGTCTCGATCACGGGCAGGGCAGTCAGGGAGCCACCGCCCATGGCAGGGGACATCTTGGCGGCACGCTCCAGCAGACGCGAATGCAGGTAGAACACATCGCCGGGGTAGGCCTCACGACCTGGGGGACGACGCAGCAGCAGGGACATCTGACGGTAGGCCACAGCCTGCTTGGACAAATCATCGTAGATGATCAGGGCGTGCTTGCCCTTGTCGCGGAAGTACTCTCCCATGGCGCAGCCAGAGTAGGGAGCCAGGTACTGCAGGGGAGCAGCATCGGAGGCGGTGGCCGACACGATCACGGTGTAGCCCATGGCGCCGGAGTCGGTCAGACGCTTTACGATCTGGGCGACGGTGGAACGCTTCTGGCCAATGGCGACGTAGATGCAGAACAGTTTCTTGGAGTCGTCCTGAGCCTCGTTGAAACGCTTCTGGTTGATGATGGTATCAATGGCCAGAGCAGTCTTACTGCAAATTGAATATAAAATTGGTTGGTTAGCTGGAGTTGGAAAATTAATTTAATTATTACTACTTTTCACTTTTAAGACTTTTTTGTTCGCATTTAATTTAAATGTAGTTTAGTATTCAGTACAATACATCAACTCCTGATAAATAATTATAATATAATTATTATAATACCACCTTCTAATAATAGCACTTAATGATTTAAAAAAAAAAAAATACATTTGAAGAAAAAAAAAAGAATGTTTGGGCTTCAGTTGGTTTGAAATAAAAATCTGGCATTTCATTTCATATTTGCGTATAAGTGGAAAGTATGTAAACTAATGAAGTTTGTTAACTGTTGAACTAGATTATCTTATCACACATTTATCCATTTTAATAAAAATTATAAAATTAAATGAAAATTGTAGTATAAGATGAGGTGGATTGGAAGTCAGGCAAAACCCAGATTATTTTTTATTTTAATAAAAAAAATAAAGGGTGTAGTATATTTCGGTGTCGGTAACCAGCATAAGTACTGGTCTAGAAGGTAAGTCTAGAGAAATTATCAGATTTGGGTCTGATTGGGCAAGTCGTTCAGAAAATAAACACCTAAATTAATATCTAATTTGAGTGGACAAGCCAAAGAAGTCGCTTGGAATATATATTGATTTGGTTGCATTTGTAGTATCTCTATAGGCCTTACCCAGTCTGACGATCGCCAATGATCAGCTCACGCTGACCACGGCCGATGGGCACCAGAGAGTCGACGGCCTTGATGCCGGTCTGCATGGGCTCCCTCACAGACACACGGGGGATGATGCCGGGGGCCTTGATGCCCACACGGAAGCGGTCCTTGGTGTTGATGGCACCCTTGCCGTCAATGGCATTGCCGAGGGCATCCACGACGCGACCCAGCAGCTCATCACCGACGGGCACATCCACGATGGCACCGGTACGCTTGACGATATCGCCCTGCTTGATCAGCTTGTCGTTACCGAAGACCACCACACCGACGTTGTCGGGCTC